GCGCTATGATCGCTAAGGAAAATTAATATTATTGTGATAAAAAGGAATGGTCCATTCTATACCTACTGTATGTATTCATTCATTTGATTTTTATGAATTTTTATGAACTTTTTTAATTTATAAGTGCATATTTTTCATATGTTTCATGGGTGTTCATCTGTCGTTTGTAACCGAATTTAAGGGAATTCAAGATACGAGAACATACAAAATGTTTCGTACATTATAATGGTCCGTTGACACGATGATGGATCGTCTACCTTGACCGGACAGGTAAATGTGCTTTCACACTAATGCGCTGAAAGTGTATAATCGTTGCGGCACGCGGGTACACTAACAAGGGTCAACAACTCCATCAAATCTCGGAGTCGTATAATATACTATTACAAGCGATATAAACAACGAGAGACATATTGAGGCTGTACAATGTATTTTTCCTCAGCAAATGTGAAAGTAGATAATTAAAATAAAACTAAGGAAGAAATATTGTGGATCTAACGAAAACAGATTAAAAATATTTCCTAACAATTTTAATGCATATTTGATAAATGATATCACATTTGTGTTTAATTCTTGCGAATAATTTTTTTTTAATTTGAATTTCAAGTGCAAAAATTATGACAATCATGCAGTGCAATTTGCGGTCGGTAACCATAATGCTTATTAAATTGATAGTCGTGGGCGTGTATTACGAAACCCCCGGTGTGCCAGATCGAATTTGAACGAAGAAGGGTGAGTCGCCACAATAAAAGGTCTTTGCACGAGCAGCTAGGAGTTAAGTCGTGGGTAATAATTACCGATCCCTCGTTAGCGCCACCAATAGACGGTCTCGCCCACCTGCCCACGTTATAATAATATAAGCCGCCTCTTTTGCGGTCGGTAGCCCTCGCACGTGCCGCCAGAACCTCCTTTATTCATTTTCTGCCCTTCGTTTCTCGCACCCTCTTACGCCCTCCCCCCCTCCCCCCCGGCTGAGAGCGCTCTATCGAGTTCCCGATTCGTTTCCGAATATTCAACATTCGGACGTTAGAGATCTCCAATTCTCCATACATATCATGTAATGCGCATCTTAATCTAAATATAACAATTTTAATTATAGTTCTTTGCGTGAATAATACAAACACGTACCATACCCTTTACGGTATCATCGATTTCAAAGGTTCTTCGGTTATTCTTTTTATGGGTGCCGATTATTAGTAGCACAATCACGACGATAGATTCACAGGGTTAGCCTGCGTAAGTGTGAAAGTGACGAAACTATCGACGAGATGTACGTATGAGGATTATGCAGGAATTGATTATTGCCGGCTATTGCGGAAGCCTCCTGTCTCGGAGTCGTCGGCTTAAAGCACCCTTTTCGCAATCCGCCTGATATTCTCGTGCAATCGCGCAGGCTTCTCGCTCGGTTAATTGCGTTATTCAGAAACGATCAATCAGCAATTAGCGATCCACTGTCCGGCCGGAGGACGCCGGACCGCTGCTATCCGCGGCATAAAAGCCGCTCCGAGCATACAACATGGAATTATGAATCGTACAACCTGAATAAGGCGCGTTAACCGTATCATTACAATTTCTAATCAAACCGTCAGTGCTCGCGGCTTTAATTTGTAAAACCAGATTGTGAAATAACGAAGGTAGAAAAGCGACTGTCAATTTCTACTGAAAACGATTCTCTGTGATATTTTTTTTTCTAGAAATTATTTTGATACACTATTTATGCATTATTTTCAAATATTATATAAAATGATTATTAAATACATTTAATAATAGTCAAAGCACTTGCTTCCTCTCTTCGACTATAGAAGCGCAGAAATCATCATTTTAACATATAATCTTCCTAGGCGTCCAGGAGCAGGTGATAAATATATGCTTAATTCATTCTACAAGTTGCGTGTCCGAGAATAGTGACCGGTCGGCGCAACCAGTTCCGCGCGTTCTCCAGCACCAATTTGCGACGTCGCGAGAGAGAAGACGCGGCGGGAAAAAAAAGACCTAGTAGACCAAGAAGAGCCCGGCGGAGACCGGTGAACATGTGATAGCGCATGACGAAGGCATGATGGATGAGGGGGCGGCTAGTTTACGTGATCGGGACATGATCGCTCGCAGGCGGGGTGGTCCGTTTGTCCACCGCTACTCCCGTGTCCGTCTTTTCCCTTTCTGCCTCTCACGAAACGTGTGTCTCCTCTCCCGCCGCCCGCCACCCGTCCTTTCCCGCCGTACTCCTCATATATACGTCGCGCATACGCCGGAACGCACCCCTGTCACCGGGACTGAGCGATCTCGTTGTCGTGTTCGGCGAACGCGACTGTAAAAAGGACTCGCGTGCGATCTCGCATGCCGATATCTCGTCGGGAGACCTTCGGAGTAACGTTTCGCGGACTTTGCCCGTGTCGGCTCGCGCAATATCATTCGTGGATACGATCGATTTCGCCATTCGTGGAATCGAGGCCTACGCGAATGTTGAACATTGAGATAGGTCGTTTGAAAACTCAACTTTACATACGTTCTTGCATTTTTTCGAGTGTCACGAGCTGTTTTTTCTTCCTTCTAAAATTTGCATTATGTATATTTGCACGGATTAAAAAACGTAGATTAAATTTTCCCTGAATTTGTAATTGCAATTTAATTCTATTGATGATACTCAACTGGATGATACTCCCGGGCTAACTGTATAGGTCGGTTTTCTTTATACCAATTTAGGTTCTAAAATGACCTGTCTCATTCCACAACCACAGCTAATGCTCTTTACGATGATGTCAGGAAAAAAGTAGGTCCTCTCCTCTTAGCCCCCGCAGGCGTCGCTCCACCGCGCGCTCCCTTCGACCCGCGAAGTCATCGCTGAAATTCGTGCGGACGTTGAAGACGGACGCAGGGTTCACGCTGTGAGACGTCGTCCCGAGGACGAGCGCACGAGCTCCCGAGTTTTGACGAGGGCACGGACAAACGCAGTCCGTATACAGGAGGAGAGCGCACGAAGCGCGGGGCCAGAAACCAGTAGCCTCTCGTCGATGCGCCCCGCTGACCTCGTCGGACTCCCCCCGCGCCGAGGATTAGAACGCGCAGTTGATGCTCTGACATGAGGAATGCTTTGCCGATGCCGAGAGAGTCGGGAACTGAGGTCCTTGCCTCCTGCTACCACATCCCGCGCTCTTTTTTCCATTTTCGACGATGTTAATTCTCGATATATCTGTCACGGCGGGAGAGAAGCCCCGCAAGAGAGGAAACGAGGCATCTAATTTGAATGCTACTATATTAGTCGCTGCCAGTGACTCGACAATGTAGATGAAACTGCGCCAACTTACTGCGACGGTTCGCGAGCAAGCCGAATGAAACGCTTTGTGTTTTGGATGTTATACAATACGATACGCCTGACATCGCGTCATTTCGGTGAAATTCAGAATACGTGTTTATATGTATATCGCGATGTGACTTTAACGATATATAAAAAATAAAATTTTTAATATTTTAAAATAATTAAAATGAAAGACAAACCGTTCTTTAAAATTACAATGTTAAATTGGATGATGCTTCATCTTTTACAGAAACTTTACAATATTCGCGATTTACAATTAGCTCTACTAAAAAAAAATGAATCTCAATAATAATAACGAAATAATAACAAATCTCATTTAAATTATTTTAACTTCAAAATATTGTTTTACGATAACAACGGTTGATAGAGAAAATTACAGGCGGGATGTTAAGCTGAGATTCCGAAACGGAAACAAAATGCGGAGACAGAGGACTACGAAGGAAGAGATCCCCGGGTCATCGATTCTGCCTCCGACATTTCTTATTATCCGAAATCTAGTGAGATTGAGGGACGCGACGCGATAAGCGCGACCACACAGAGATTGATTCAGAAGATTCTCACAGGCGGTTTCATCAATCGCGGAGCCAGCGGAGAAGGCGAATCATTGTTGGACCCGATCTCGCGACGTATGCTACAGCCGATCCCGTGTAGATGACCAATCAGAAGTCCAACTGTTTCGCGGAGGGTTGGAAAGCACAAACGGCTGCACTGTGTCGTCAGTTATACATTGCGATCGAGTAAGTGTGTGTATGTGTTTCGTGAGATTCCTTCTTTTCAAGTCGTCCTTTATTTCTGTTACCATTTACAGCTTCTTCATCGTCATCATCATGCAGAAAATATTTTTTCAATATCAATTTAATAAATAGATTAGCAAAAATTAGCAGAGAGGTTTCATGATTCAAGCTAATATCGCAAATTGTTTTTCCTTTTGTAAATTCAAATTAACATCATTTTTTTGATAAGATATGTAAAATATGTAAAGAAATACACATGTGCCGGTTCTGAAAATAATATTAAAAGAATTTTAATAAAAATGATTTCAAACTTTATATATATCTATTGCAAAAGAACTCCTTATTATTACTTGTTTTAAAAATACAATCCGTTATAAGTCTTAATATTTTTTATAAAACATGCATATCTATAATAAAATTTAGATCTTTACCAAAAGTACGGAGGGGGCTGTATGAATACATTTGTGCTTCGCATATGGAGCAGAGATGTTTACTCGCCTGTACATATCGATAATCGTAACGAAGGAGGAAGAATACGGGTTACCCTATGTATGCATATATATATATGCGCGTTGGCATATCGCACAAGTTGAGATAATTGGTCGTACGATCGGGACAAATATTATTTCTCTCCGAACGGAGTCGAGGGAGGATTATATTTGTATGATAATACTTCACACTCGGCTGGCTCCCTATAATGGAAAGAGGGATCTATGCATTGGGGGAAGCGCGCCCAGTGATTCGACTTGCTATTATACGATGTAATCAGTACTCCATAAATATCGGCGTACTCACCCACCGAACGTTAAGGATTCGGAGATAAGTGTTATGTTTTATAGGCGCGTCACTCTGATCGTTTTAACAGATCGGGACAATAAAAGGATCAGGCAATTACTTGACAGTGAAACGCTCAGAAACGGCCGGTTCTTACGCATAAATCGTGAAGAACACCAGTGTCTTAAAATGAAGTCTTTAATGAGATTTTTATTATTACCGCACGTTTTCTCTCTACATACAACGATAAAACGTTTATCACATCAAAAGTATTTAACGCAAAAATATAAAGGAGTATAGAAGAATACAAATTATTAATTGTCGACCGATTCATTTCTTTTTTTGTACGGAATTATATTTAAGTTGCCTTGGTAGCTTCAGCGAAATGAAGGGAACAACAGTATCACGTAATCTTCTTGTAATTCCGAGTTCTTCGAAGATGACACTAGAGACGTTGCGTCTTCGGAGTGCCTTTGTACGGCAGGATCGCGAGCTGCAGCAAGCAAGAGAGAGGCTCTTGCTCTAAGATCGGATAAGAAGAAGAAACAAATCCGCTACCTTTCGGTATGAGAAAAACGTGCGACGAGGCCGACGCGGTGTCTATTCTGGTAAGCCGTCTAGGAATGCGTCCTTCTCGCTTAGTTTCCCATTCTATTTCAATCAGCCTCTATCTTTCTCCTTTTTTTCCTCTTCTTTGTTTCCTTGTCTCTCCTTCTCTCTTTCTGCTGCTCGCTGTCCGAGTCCGACACGACATTTGAGAAGCCTTCATCAGGCCCCCAATATCCAGGGCATATCGTTTCGCCTGCCACCCTGTCGGCGGTAGATCAAATCAATCTCGTTTGCGACGCGCTGCTCGACCCTTTTCCAACTTCTTGAGATGTCCGCGTTAATATTATGCCGCGTGAGGTAATATTACTCACAGTATAATGAGTTCCCTTGGCTACCAAACCGGCTCAACTATACGGCTGCATTTCTAAAAGAGACTAAGCTAGTAGAATAATTCAATACCTAGAACGATAAAAGTAAAAAAAAAATAGGAGTAAAAAATAATATATTCTACCACAGCCAGACGTTTTTATGTATACTCTACAGAAAAGAATAAATGCAAATATTATCTAATTCGTTGAATGCGTTAATAAACTAGGGGAGTGCTAATCTTTTGTAAATTATCATATTCGAATAATGTCAGGAAAAAGTTTAACGTTCGCCAACATATGTAACCGACGACTAATTGTAAGTGCAGGAGATTTCGGAGCTTGACGCGCATCGCTCGGCATCTAGGTATATCTAGGCACACGCATTTATGCCGACGCACCTAAATCCGAAACAAATTGTGTCGGCAAACACGGGCATTGTCCGCCGAAGAAAAAACCGGCGGAGCGTGTTTACGTCACGCCGCCCATTCTGAAAAGTAATCTACACCGTATTGTCGCCCGGCGCGGTGCGCGCGCCCGGCCATCCACGAAAGACTTAGTGCCCCTCCTCGCCGCCCTTTTCGCTCTTTAGCGCAGGCTTTAGTCCCCGCAATATTCACAAGGACGCGCCGCGCGGCACGATCTGTCACTCGGGCATCGAGACTCGCGGTCGGATGATCGCGCGTAAGCGCGTTATTCGCAGCGGCCTTTCAGACCTCGGCGGTATCGTTGCCTCTTACTCCGAGGGGTTGGCACTCCGTACGAGGGGTGGGGTAAGTCCCATCACGTCGGCACCGGTCGCCATCACCGTCGGGATTATCTTCGGGTCCTGGTACCGCGCCGCTGCGGCTCTTCTTCCTCTACCTGGTCGCACTGTCTGAGAACTTAAGCGCTAAATTGTTACTCGAAGTAGCGACAGACTGAATGGAATTTTCACTCGCATCCTTACTCGCATTTACGAGCCTAAATACGATCGTTTCAAAATTCACAGTTCTTGTTTAATATAGAAACGTTATATTCCCGAGTATTTTTTCTGCAGGAATTTATTCAGGTTAATACGGAGATATTAAAATTTACAAAGGTTTATTTCGAGCTGCGGAACTTCAAGTTTTCGACGAAAGTTTTCGTAAAAAGTTTACCGGCTTTCGTCAATATATTCCAACTGCAAAAGTGGCTGAGAGTTTGCCGGAACTCTCTTGTTTATGTTTCGTGTTTATAAAGCCAATAATAAACGAGTACATAATCCAAACTCAGGTTTATACAATTCTTTCCGTAAATTGCTCGATATTTTATGAAATAAGTATACTTTTTAAAATATTTTTTCAGGCTTCTGTAAACTGTAATTACCCTAAGTAAATAATTTACTATTCACCAATTCCTTTAAATTGTATTCTATATGAGAAGTCAACTTAAATACATTGAATCGAAGTAACATCATTTTTAATATATTTTTACGCTTTAGATTTGTAGCCGAACTCTTTTAGGATTGAGGAAACACAATGACGACTGAGGCGAGGATGAGCAGGACAAAGGTGGAGACACGCGCGGCTTGCTGGGCCGTTCCATCGCGCCGCAGCTGTGAAACACGTACCATCGGTTCGGTATCCACGATGCCTAATTTTTGAGAGTATGTCCGAAAGGCGAAGGGAGGGGGAGAGGAGGAGGGGTAAGGAACCACCTGGAAACCCCCCCCGGATCATGGGAGTGAAGACTATTCGGATGCGCCGAGCCGTGCAACGAGCCGCCGCCGCGAAATAAGGGATGCTCTCTCTCCTCCACCACTCTGTCCCCCGACGGTTTTCGACAGTGCCGTAACGCGGTACCTCCGCCGGGCCCTCGACCATCGTTTTTTTTTTTGCAACGGGCGGCCTGTACGCGCACGTATATATACGTGTAACTAATACCGACGCTGTACGTGTTTAGGGGCAACCCCTCGCCCGAAGGGTACTCGCCCCGGAGACTTAAGCGCGAGCATACTTACCGCATGTTGCCATAATGAGTCGCGGGGTCGAGTGCGCGGAAGAGGGAGAGACGGGGTGGGCTCGGGTCCCCTCCCTCCTTGTTCCCTTTTCATTCAATGCCGCAAAGAGCGGCCGAGAGATGCCTTCAAAGGAAGATTAAAGTGCCGCGATCCTTGGCAGTTTGTTTATCGGTCGGCTTTCTCTTTCTTGCCCCTGCCCGCGTTTTCCTTTTTTCTCTTCCTCCATCTTCTGCTTCTCTTCCTTCAGCCTTGCCTTCTTCTACGTGTATAGCGCCAGATCCGCTACGAATGTATTTGCGAACCAAGAGAATCGAAGAGCGTCTTCTTCGCGCAGGCAAAACTTTACGCGTTTGTATTTAAATTGAACATTATTATATAACGTTATTATTTGTAGATATCAAAGCGACTTGAAGAATATTGATTATTATATTATTATCTTATTGTCCGGATGTCTTTACTTCAGTATGTTTCCGTTTTCATTTTTTTTTCTTTCCACCCTTTTTTCGCATATACTGCCAATTTCTGTTCACAATCTTCATTGAAAAATTTTAATTTTTACCAATCACATTGTGTACTATACACGTACAACAAGCAGCTTTTTTCGCTGCTGATCTTTCGTCCTCGCTTTAAAATCATTGATGGCAATCCAATTTGTCAGTGTACATTTCTGTAGCGTTGCTCGATAACTGTAAAAGTTACCCATTCCGCCGCTCACAAAGCGCACGTAAAATCACCTCTGAACGCCGCAGTACGCGGCATACGCGCTGGATGTACAAGGGTTCAATCGCGGTTTTGCGAGGGGTTGGAAAGTCGGCACACGGAGGGACGCGGCACAGGGGATGTTTCGGGAGAGAGTAGGGCGTACACACATCGGCGGAGGGAAAACATGGTGGCCAACTGGTTGCGGCATTCATCAGAGGCGGTGCTCCGCGTACCTTTTGAGATCTCGTCTTTTTTATCGTTCTCCGTGTACACGCGTATACATTGGCACGAAGGGGAGAACGGGAGAAAAGAGTGAGAGAGAGAGAGAGAAAGAGAGACAGAGAAGGGGGGCCGACTGGCTGTATGAGAAAAACTCTCCATTGAAACTATCGACGAGAAAGGAGCCGCCTCCGTGTCGGCTCCCTTTGCACGATCCGCCTCGATCCTACGAGGAATCATCGGGAGGTATTTACACCTTCTTTACGCCGGAGAGCCGCACGCAGCGCATTATCGCCGGGCTCTGCTTAATCATGCGTGGCGCGCGCGCCCTGCCATTTACAAAGCCGCACGTACGTAATTGTAAACGTTCGTCACAAAGAAAGTGCTTTTCTCCCGCAGCCACGTTCGTGAGATGGTTCTCGCGCGTATAAATATAAAATATCTTTGAAGTCGCACAAACAAGATAAATATATTAATAACGCGGAAAATCGCGTAATTATAGCGTGACTCACGTCCCGCGCTTTCATCGTAATTGTGCGATAATCATAAGGCTCGTAAAATCAGCAGTGATCAAATATGATTTTTCAACACTAGGATTTTCATCATCAAGGATCTCTCAAACAGCTCGATAAGCTGTCGGTAGAATTTTCGTGGGAATAACATTTTTCCGGAGCAGAAACGATGTATGGTGCCGTAAGTTATCGTTGCCCGACGCGAAAGTTAACGCAGATAGACGATGGAGAAAAAGCGGAGATATGGCGCTTGCATTGCGGGCGAACGGCCCGAAGGGAGAATGGAAACAGGCGAACCGCCGCCGCGCGGCGCGGATCAGAAGCGTGGCGAAATCTCCCTCTCGGATGTTTCCAATTACGTTTACGTCTCTCCGCGTCTCCCTCCCGCGCCGTCCCCCTCATGCCCCCCGGTGTCTGATTACACCGCGATGTCGGGCGCCCTCCCTGTTTCGCCGCAAAGAGAGATGCACTTGCCGCGCCCGCGTATACGGCCTTCGTCACCGGGCGCCGAAGCCTGAAATCAGAGAATAATAAAATTCACCTAACGCCGTTTACGGGATACGGGCGCACAGCCGACGCTTCCGCGTATAGCGAAGCGCGCGGCGGCTCGCAGAAGGGCAAATGCGGAGAGTAATCCGATACGTTCGACGTCGCAAGTTTCGCAAGGGTAACTATGTTTCGACAAAGTTGGCCCTTTAAAGAGCGCCGATATACGCGCGTTTTATAGTCCTTCTCGAATAGCCAGGGATATTACTGGATATCTAAATGCTCTGTTATTAGTTTTAGAAGAAATGTTGCTGGATACGTGTGTATAATTTACATGTACTATAATTTATACATTCCCAATATACATTTTTTTTTTTAAATGACGAGTACAACAGAAACCGATATCGCATTTATAGCAAATCGCTCGATTGCCATCCCCCCCTCTCCTCCCCCCCATTGTTATTATACGTACGTGGCTAAATCAATTACTCGCAAATTGTAATTATTATTCTCCGCGGCGTATCTTTGTCCCGCGTTATTTTTTTTTGTTCCGATAATCACATTGCGCCGGTCTCTTTTTGTCGCGGAACGAGACATTTAAAGCCCGCGAGCGCATAATCCATTGTTCACACGGATAATTTTATTAATGTACGTTAATCCGCGTGTTCCATGCGTTCAAATGCCCGTATTGCAGTTCGTTAACTTAATGGCGATTATCAGGATGAAATACAACTCGTAAATGCGCGAGGCGCAATCCGGATAAGCCGAAAGGCAATAAAGAGGAATTGCAAATGCTTCGGATGAAAATGCTGCCAACAATGCGGCCTCGATAGTATTCTGTTCGTGTTAAACGTTCGAATAACACCGTTGCGCATGAAATCGGTTCGATTAAAAATACCGCTAAGCGTTGTCGGTTGTTTCGCGGAATACCTATTCGATATATAATAATACGTCGGGGCTAAGCCAAGTATACGAGTTCGCGAGCGATACTGCGAAAAATCGATGCGAAAAAGGTACGGCGGAGTGGCGGAGTAGGTATACTGGATGTGCCAATAGCAGAGAAAATCTTGTATGGGTGCTGATTAATTTAGTTCTGCGCCAGCAATTATCCGAAGTGTCAACGTTCCACGTACGTCGCGGACAAACGCAGCATGTGCGCTCGTATACGGGACTCGTCGGCGTTTCGGCGCCGACTTGATAAATCCAATTGTACGCGGCGGCTAAAGCCGAAAGGTACACGAGGACCGTGTCGAAAGACGCGCTACCGAACTTTGACAGCAACTTGCCGCCGCGTGTTTCACGGCTATCAGCCGAGCGCTGCCTAGCCTGGAGGCGGATATATTAGCGTGGAGGCTACGGCAACACATAAAGACGTTATTATCCTGACGGGCTCTCGTCCACTCTTCGCATTCATCGCCGAACGGTACCGCGTTTCTACCGCCGAAACTCTCCCTCCGCGAGTTCGGATCGCGCGGAAGGGAGGAGGTATTACATTGAAGGTTTCACGAGAAATTCCGCGCGCCTCGCGTTGAAACATAATGTATTTATCTTGCAGACGATGCGAATCAAGTTTTCGAAGTATAACGAATTTAAGCAAAATATTGGTACAAGGTATGGCTAAGCTAATTCAGCGGTAGGAAAGCTAAGGCGCAACTTAAACCTTCAGAGTTTGGCTTAATGGCGCCAGTTTCAAAATAAAAACAGACGCACGAGGAGTATATAAAATTGACCAATAACGAGTAAGGGGAGAATCTGTTCTTCGTCGAAGGATTCATATTTTTCTTTAATGATCTTATTTCTTCCGCGTTAAATCTCATCACAATCTGCCAATCGTCCGCTTATTTCATTTCTGCACCTTCATTCCGTAACTTTTCGCCTCCCAATCGAATCGACTCCCATTGTTATCTTTTGTTAACTATAATCCCCTCCTTTTCGGATATTCCGAGGGCCATTCGCGAGTCTCATCAAACTTTCGTCGAACCTCGCGCGCGTCGACGCGCGTTCGGCGTGTTCATCGATTCTCGATTAAGCACGCCTGGCCGATTAATTGCGTATCGATCAGATATACGTATTTAGTGCCGGTAGCGAGATCATCTGTACTCGGTGGATACTTGGTTGCCTTTTGACACTCCTTGTGTACATAACTCGTGATGAAGTCACGAGCGAATGTTCGCTTTAATCTTGAAAGTTTGTTACTTGATATAATACTGGTGCACACTGAGGATTCTAGCCGGTCTCACAACGTTGAATTGACTCCGATTTTTCCTTTCGCTATGTTATTGTGCAAAAAGAGAAGAAATTCATTCGCGATGATACATTTAGAACCTTTCTAATTTTTTGATTATTTCGCACCATTGGCGTTTTTTCTATGTCTCGATGTTTTATCGTTATAAAAATATTCTTCCATCAGCATTTATTTTATCCAAAGAACGTTTGCATTTTTTAAATCAAAATCCGCAGCCCAAATGTGCGCGTACAGCTCAACCGTAATCAAAGGATTGAAATAGCAAATAATTGCAAATTAAACGAAAAAGAAATATTTTTCATAATCTCTAATTTTTTTTATCGACAATTACGTGAAGCCGATACAGTTTTCTATTCCCACAGGCACTTTACTAATGGCAGGGAACAGCGTGGAACAAATCGTATTGTAAAATCAATTTCTCGCCGTATAATGCCCGCCGACACGAAGTTATGATTGGTACGAACAATTGCCGGGCACATATACATGCGCTTTTCGAATATAAAAATAATTGGTAGCCGACGAGATTTTTGCGGGCGACGGGCTCCATACGCTGCGACGAGTGATCGAAATAATTTACGCGTCGGCTGAATGCATTCGCGCAACTTTCTCGACGACTCGCATTGTATCCTCGTTGCGCATTTTTTTTTGCTGCGTTATTTCCCCCGAGCGCACCGTTAATCGCGCCGATTGCCGCACCAGCGAGAAAGAGGCTAGGCACGCAGGTAATTGGCGCCTAATTGGACCCACCTGTTCCATCCGGCCGGGCAAAGGAATCTCGACTCTCTTACGGTATTTATTTTAAGCGAAGGGGTTGGCCTCTCGATTACCTAGCACTTGTGTCAATTCCCTCTCACGGATTTCATATAAAGACGTTTCTCCTTTAATCACCTGTAGAAACCGTTCCTTTCTTTCCGCCGAAAAAAAGTGTGCCAAGAATTCCATTTCAATCAAAAACTGTACTATTGATAAAGATTTTTCTCTTATTCTTACATTTTTATCTTAATATTCTGAGTGTGCTACGCGTTTCTATATATATATGGACACAATCACATAACAAAGCATTTCTCGGTCCCTTTGATCTCTGCAACTTTATCTATCTTTTACAATTTATCTTTTAAAAATTTTAACAGCCAACTACAATTCTTACAGTATCGTAAATTGCACGATAAACACCGCAAAATGAGTTATAAAAGAAACGCCATCTCTTATAGCGTCCGACCGTCAGCAAACGTCATTTGTCAGATACTAAAATGCATTCGCTCTAATTCCACGTTAATACGCCGTCTCGTGCGACTTGCTTTGCATGCGAAGTAATCGCTTTAAAACGCTCGCTAATTCTCAAAGAAAGAGCAAACGCCGGTTTTTACTCGCGGCCGCCATTATCTCTCATTAGAGTGGGTTCTTTTAGCGAAATCCCGCGGCGTCCCTCCTCTTATGTCAACCTACGCTTATGTGTGTGAACCGAGAAAACGTGAAGGATAAAATAAAGGCAAGGGGGACTCGAGAAAAGGGATGCGACAAGAGGGTTGGTGCAAAATGTACCGACACAATGCTCGCGCGCATGTTGGCGATTGCGCATGCAGATGGACTCGGGGGCGGACAAAAAAAAAGGATGAAACAAAATTGATGGGTTGCCGAAGGCAGATAAATCGGAAGGTGGATTACGACGGTCGCGTGATGGACACTATGCGTGAAAGCGGCGTCAGGATGTCAAACTCGACGTCCGTCCGTGTCAAACCGTTCTTCACCGTGCAAAACCACGCGTGGAAGCTCGTAAAGAAAATTACGCGAAATCGATAAATTAAAATTCGTTTTATTGTAATGGCAAAGAAGTGAATTGATCGACATGAAGATAATCTGATGGGAAGGATTACTTAACTTAAAGGGCAATAACAATTAATCGTTGATTGGATAACTTGCAGAGAAAAAAATGCACAATGAAAAAGTCACAAAAAGTTCAATAAACTGTTGGATACATAGTAAACGACATTTAATATTAGCTATAATAAATTGATACAGTAAACTATGCTGATCAATATGTTGTAATTAGAGTAGATTCAGTCTGAATAATGAATTACAAGGATACGCAAAGAGCTATTAGCTTCAGTTCTTATTGGATTCGGTAAAAATAAATAAAAAAAACTTCGAGAAATTGTTTTAGTCACTGCAGTTGCATTATAAAGAGTTATTCTAACGAAAGGAAAGCGGACAGAGAAGGACAACCGAATTGAACGCGCGGAAGGGGAGAAAATCTTCGCGAGGCTCAAGTAGCGCGTTTGAAATTTCGCATTTTTCCACACACTCACGCGTGCACACAGCGACAAACTTACCCCCGGTGGCGTGAAAAAAATCCGCGCGGGAATAATTCGGCGGTGGCAGAGACAGGAAAAGCGACGGGTCGTCGGACGAGCGACGGGCGAGCAGCGACGACGACGACGACGACGGCGGCGGCGGCGGCGACGGCGACGGCGTTGCGTGCGAGAGTGGCGTCGCGACGCCGGGCGTCGGCGTGGATCTCGCACGCGCCGTGCCTTCCGCGTCGCGCGCCGAAAACAATGGCGTCGTCGGGGTTTCTCGCCGTTCCAACGGGGCACAGAACACCGCCCACGGCAAGCGCCGCCCCCGTTAGAACGTCCAGCAACAGCGATCGTGGTGAGGCCGTGAAGCGGCTCTTCAGGGCGCCGCGCGGAGTTGCGCGATGCCGCGCCGCGCGGCACAATTGCGGTTTATCCCCACCGTCGACGGTCGGCGAGCGCGACGGGCCACCGCCACGCCATCGCCGGCATGGCTCCACCCAGATACACGCTATGCCGCGCTGGTCCTGGCCGAGAAGCCTCGTCAGGGGCAACGTTGCCCGGAGGCAAGGCAACTGCCTGGTCGACTCGGCTCGCGCAGGACGAAGGAGTGAGGAAGAGCGCGAACGGGGGGAGAAAAGAATGAGGAACGGAGACGGCGAGAGGCGCGGCAGGAGAGAGCAGGGACAACACTAACCGAAGGGAGATGGTGTATACGATGTAGGGAACGCGCTTAGGGGTGGGGACGCCAAAATCGTGCGGCAGGGATCTCCGCATGCGGGAAGGCAGACTCTGGTGGTCAATCGGGCGCCGCGCACCGCAGCAGCGACGCGTCACTGCACCCCTGTTTTGGGAGTCGGGCACGTGCTTCTTTCCTCTCCACCGACGCCGCGCGTTCAACTGCATTCCGGTTGCTCGCAGGCAGCTCATCCGCAGCCAGCCAGGCGCGATAAACGCCGATAAACCGCGAGAAGCCGCGCATCCACGCCCGTGTGCTCGGGGAGACACATCACCGTGAAGATAGCTTCCTGGATATTCTCGCCTCTTTTGTAAACGCGGTGTACGGCGTACTGATAACGTCGTTTGCGCGCATGTCGCCCTGACAAATAATCTCGCGAGTATACACCCGACGTTGACGCGGTCTCGAGGACGTGTCCCGGTCTCGGATCCGTCGACACCAACGGTGTCCGCGCTAAACCGGAAGTTGACCGACACTAACCCGCGTTGCAAATCGCCAAACACACAGTGTGGATTCCCCGACGTGTTGAGATTCGATGTACTCTCGTTAAACTGTGCGATTGTAGTGTGTCAGTGACATCGAGCAGTTGAAGCCGCGACGTACTCACTCACGTCGGCAGCTGATCTCTTCAAGTTCCTCGACCGGCGACACTGAGGAGCGTGGAAGCTCCGATCGACGGAAGCCGCGTCAAGAAAGTGCTGTGAGCGGAGCAACGCCGTCGCGGATTGTGCTTTCAGCTGGTGGCTGGATCCGGCCTGACCACGGCCATTCTCGACACGGTACGTTTCGCATTCAGCTTCACGATGAAAAGAGCGATTCGTCCAACGGGACGTCTGAGAACATTTTATTCGAGACAATTGAGAGTTGAGAATCTTGCTTACAGATGCTAGCCTTTCCTAAACACATGTAAAGCATTAAGAGTAAAGCCTACAGCTTATGTGCAACAGTTACTCCTATAAATAATAATTAACTGTTTGGTTTAGAGTTTAAAACTGTAGAAAATTTAGACCTCTTTAAAGGTTACGTATATATCTTCAGTTAATTATTAGCTAATCATTGTGTTGAGAAAAAACCAAGAGATTAGCATATTGCTTATCATGATATTTTGTTAATACACTGTGATTGTATTATTGTAGAAGACTAGACTTGGGTTTCAATACTTTTTGTCTAAATTATATTATTCTTGTTTCTAATGAATGGTATATCTTCTCCTTTTTAAAACAATGCAATGGTATAAATAATCGTCAAATCTTCCACTTTATTTGATATTTGATAGTTGATCAGATGAAAATATCAATTTTAGAAAGAATTAAGAAAGAGAAAAAGAATGAAATCATTAATTTTAAATAACACTTTTCACATAAAAGTAATCAAGAGTATAAAATAATACATAATATAGAAATATTTGAATGTACTTGAAAACACTTACATTTAAATTTAATAAACAGTATCGCATGAAATATGTTAATTTTTATTCTAATGTCTATGTATTTTTGTAATATTTCATATAATTATTATTTACTTAGACGCAAGTTTAATAATGTGTAGCACGTAAAATCTTTGAAACGTGTTTACTATTTACAAAATTATACGTGTAAATTCTATTTTATCTATTTTCGCAATTAGACGCAGAATAATCTCTGATGAAGAATTATCAATTTCTATGCAATAAATTTTGCCAGTTTAAGCAAGGCGTTTCTTTCTAATTTATCAGATTATGAGATGCTCATCTCTTTTATTTATGTAGTAAGAGCATAAATTTCTCATCTAGAACTGACAGAGAAGCGAATTTTCCCTGCAAGACCGTCTTCTACTATCTATAGAAAATTGCAATAAACCGAAATAGATGTAATAACTTGGAGGCGCGCGGTGCGGGTTAGCTACAAATTGCGCGTGGCACAATGGCGTTGTTAACGCCCGAGTACCTCATTATGATCGCGAAAAAAAAGCTGTCGATTACGGGCCGGAATGCATCGGGCTTGTTTAACGAAAGCATTGCGCGAAGCATTATCGCGAGCATTATTGCCTTTTATTGCAACTTCGGTTTTCTAACGCGCAACAGACACCATTCTATTCACGTTCCAATCTCGTTCTATTTGATTTGTATTTGAAGTTGTATAACTTGATGACGAAACTTGTGCGCGATGACTACATTTTAGACAGAGTAAAAGACGAAAGATGCCTCTCAATGGACCTCTTTTTACATTTGTGATTACATTCTGCACTTTTATCGTTATACAACAAAAATATTCGCAGTTGATGTTACTGTCTTACTCATTGTCAGATGTAAGTTTCAACATTGCAGTTTTAATATTTTTCTGTTTCGTGAGCTCGTAATTATTTATATTCTAATTTCAACGAGAGAAAGAATATGTGTGTGTGTGTGTGTGTGTGTTATACTGCAAAGTTATTATCTCGTCCGTAAGCAGCGCCTGTAATTTTTAAAAGGACATTATGAAAGGAACGCAAAATTACTTTTCATCAAAAATGCTTTTATATAGCTGCAGAAACCGTATTTTACAATGTTTGAACTTCTCTGCGCCGTCTTCAGCTTGCATGTTTATTTGAGTGGCATACGATGGTCGCCATTATTTTTAGACGAAGGGAGAAACGAACATGAGCTTCGCTCATTGAAAGTGATACAATCTCGGAAAATAACAGATGTCTCCTCGAGTGCTTAACAAAGAAAGCGTACCTCGGAGATTTCGTGAAAAGCCCTTTGTCGTGCCTGAAGCGTCGGCGGTGCAGGAGGGAAAAAAAAGGACAGGGCGGGGAAAAATCTTAGCCTCAATTATTTACTAATTCCGCGTGTCTTCTGTTCTCCCATAGCTATTCCGTTAAATTGAGTCACGTTTACGTTTCGCAGAAACTTGTGTCCAGTCATTGAAAAGAAATTATCGTTCGATAAACATTAGCTTCAATAAACGCTCTGAGGCTACGAAATAATCGAGGTTGAAATTTGCGCGAGAAAAAAAATCAAATTGCGCCGTTTAATACGTGCATAGAAATACGATTCAGCGATGTTTCGCTCATTGGGGCACGATAGAGTGCGTCGGGGAATTAAAAATGATTAACTCCGCGTATCCGATTCGAATTAGCGCGACGTAGCGAGTACGCGCGCTCGCAGTTTACTGCCGGCGTCCTAATTGGCGTAAATTAATGCATCGTGCTTAAACTTCCGCCTTTCGCGCTCGACGAGATGCAGGTCGCCTGTGAGATATTCCGCTTTTGTGTGCCGAGAAGGCGAGCGCGCGCGGAGTCGCATCGTTTCAACGAGACTAAACGCAGCTCGTTCCTCAGATCCCCGTCGCGTTCTGCACGCCGCCTCGGTTGTCCGGATAGCTCTGAGGCAGTAAATTTCGTTGGTATTTCATTCCATGCGCTCTCTCTCTGTCTCTCTACCTGAAAATCCTCAAGTGCTCGCGTGAAGTAGTCTACCGTTTCCATGCCTCCTCGCGCTTTTTTATTAATTGAATCGCGCAATTATGATCGCAATCAGTTCGCGCTATCGGACGGAAAATTTCGTCTCAACGAAAAAAAGTTTGAACAACTCAATGTAAAAGGAGCAATTTGTATTATATCGTTGCGTTTCGCACTTGTAAAACGATGCTTATATACCACGAATATTCATCCAAGCTTACGCGGAGTCCACTTCAGATAGATTATTCGTTATCGTAAAAAATAAATACAGTTTGTAGCGCGCGTATTCGTTTGCGAAATACTTATGCAAATCTATCTATTTTCATTCCACCGCGAGAAAACGTTTCTGTATAACGTCAAGTTGCTGGATATAAAGTATCAATGACTAAATTATTTATCCCTCCGCCAGTCGTGCGAAATCGCGTTTTGACAGCGTAGATCCAATCGAGATCTCGGTATAGCGGGAGCGAGCACGAGCTCTATCTCTCTTCTTCTTTCTTTCTTTCTTTCTCTCTTTCTCTTCTTCTCGCTATCGCTTGGAGTAGCAGGGTCTCGAGAGTGAGTCGCGACGAGACGCGGAATGATCTCGCGGTCGACCACGTTTAACGACCCTTGGCTCGCCGCTTTACAGCTTGCACTTTTCGATCCGGCCGGGCGCGCGGGTATTGATGTCCCCCGCTTTGCCGTCGGCCGTCGTGACGTTACCGCGACCGGGCTTGAAAGGAGCTAATGATCTACGAGTCTCGCCGAATGACAATTAACGCTCGTCCCGACGCACGCCGGCGTGTGATGATTAACCGTGATGAGATGAGGGGCACGCCGGAATGCGCATAGACGCGCTACGCTCGCGGTCGGCTTCGCGCGCACACGTCGGATTTCTCGATCGTCAAGGATCGAAGGAGAGGCGTTACGGCAGGTGTTCGACAGTGCGACGGTGATTATAGATGCTTTCTCGATACGCCGATTCCCATGATTTTGTTTCTGAAAAATAACCTCGTCCCGTTGAATCATTTGCGCGCGGGCACGCTAATTATTTTTGTTTATGGAGAATGTTATTTAATTATCGGGAAGCTTTGATAAATAGAAGAATGGGTACACACCCGTAAATCGTATATATCGTTAGGAATGGCGCTCATTTTTTATGTACATATATAATCTTCGGCGGGTTGCAGTTTTAAAAATAGAATAACCACCTGATAAGTATGCGTTGTTTCAAAGTCAGCCTGTAGCCTCAGACACGTAATAATATTGCATGTTTACTATTTACGAATACAGTGATTTATTGTTACGGAATATGAAATATTGTGCAACGTGTATCAATATCTAAAATTTATTCGCGATTATTAAGTCATTTCTTTGTAATAACATCGCAAATTCGAAAACGAAAAATCGCGTTTTCGGAAGGAAATTCTCCGGATTGAAATTCAATCCAGAAAATTTTCAGATTATAACGATTTTCTAATTACATCGACTTTGTAATAACGCGCGACACAGATACGTTTTTCCTTGCAGCATCTCTTCCTTGCGTTGTATGTATAATAATTTTCGATTTGTTGCCGCGGCGTGCGCAAAGTAATACGAACAAATTTATGCGGGACGTAATCAGCCTTGGAAAAATTCGGAAATTTACCGCCGACACGGCAATGTTTATTATTTGCCCGGGCGTTATTTATTTTTTGGCGCACTTTGAAATTTGCTTTTGGCGAACCAGTTTCGACGGCGCCAATATTTACCGCGCTTCGCGGGCGATAATCCCCCGAATTATGTTCTTTGAAGCCGCGTTATTTACGCGCGCGGAAGGGCGTGTGCAACGCATCGCGTCGTGTCGCGTTGCGTCGCGTCGCGTCGCGTCGCGCTGCGATACGACGCGTCGCGTCGCGCCGCACCGCACTGCGGAAAGGTATAGGGATCAATTGAATTTTCGTAAATTGCCGTGAATTTATAAAATTATTGCGAACGTATGTAAAATTATTTCGGCCGTTGCGCGTCAGCCGTTCGTTAATCGTTAACACCGATGCTCGCCCGTCGGCTACGCGCGTCGGCTACGCGCCGCGTCGTTGGCCGAGTGTTTTTTTTTGTCGCGTAATACCTTTTTTCTCTCGCGTATCGCCAAGTAAAAAATTTTCGCAATGCGATTAAGAACGACGCGAAATTGTAAATCGAAACGCGCTCGCGTCTGTTAATAATCCATGCTCTCGATACGTTACGTCGTTACGCCCGAAATTGGTTTTTGATCGCGCGCTCCGCACTAAATAATCATCGCGCAGCGATATATTCCCCGTGAGAGTTACGGCATTATCGGCGATATTATCCAGCTCCGATAATACGGTATCCGCGTTATAGCATGTTATACGAATTTTAACATGTTTACGATCAACATGTCTTTTTTTTTGTGAAAACGATGATGGATTTTTTCTGTTTTTATTTTTTGTTCTAAATCAAACACAGATAGGGAGAAAGAGAGAGAGAGAAAATTATTGCTATTTCCTTTCCTCTTAAAATGTTTTCTTTTCAAAGATATATTACACCAAGTACTGTACGTACAATCATAAAGATATTGTTTTAATAGATATAAAATTGCGTTTACCTTTCGAGAAAGTTAAAGTAAAAACTTCCTCTTTGAAAGTTCTATAAAAAGTATAATATTGAACACAGGTTATATTCCATTGAAATAAGCGCACCAATTATCAGATTTATTTTCATAAGTAACGCAATAGCGTTTATTCTAAAATGAATACGTGGTATTATTTAATCAATACTCTTTCACTTCATGTGATGTTCTTTTCTCTCTGTCTCTCTCTCTCTTCCCGTAGCGGATTAGGTGCGAAAGCGTCTAATTAAAAGCAGATCGCAGCGAGGGGGAAACTGACCGAGCTATTTCGAATGATTCTAGCATTGTGTTAGCGTGGCCGGAGGTGGCGGCGGTGGAGACGGCGGCGGCGGCGGCAGCGGCGGCGGCGGCGGCGGAGGCGGCGGAGGCGGCACGGTCGGCGGCGGTCGGCTGAGCCTGCACCTTCGTCCTTGCGGAGGTAGCGGTGGCGGCGGCATCGCCGAAAGTGACAGCGCTCCGGAATACCCGCCGAGCGCTGCGGCAGTGCGGAGCAGGGAGGCGGCGGCGGCGGCGCTGCACGCGGCAAGAACCCTGTTGGGCGCGGGGGTGGCTAACCCTTGCTCGCCCACCCCCGAGCCGCCCTTTTGGAAGATGCCGCATAAAGGTCGGTCGAATCTATTTACTTAATTTACGCGATGCCACAGTGCGAGAAAACGAGGTGTTTGGCGATTGACCGGAGTAGTATTGACCACGGCCAGGTGGTCGATAATCGCCGAACAAATAGCTGATTTTCTAAATTCGGTCGGCAAATGAGCTTTGCCGGCGAAAACTCTTGTCAGGGTGAAGAGAGTCATTTGCGAGAGCCGTAATTGATTTGTTCTTTGCGAGAAAACATCGTCAATTATACCGAACACTTTGTTTAAGTGAGCGAGATAAAAATGATGAATCTGTGGCTGGGAATTATAAGAGTGATGTAAGAATAATTTTTCAAAAAATCTTAATTGGAGAAGTAAGTACGCTGAAATCGAAGTAAGGTAAAGGGATGAGAAAATTTTTATAAAATTTGATCCACCCGTTAATATTGTGTCAGACTGAATGACGCAGAAAAATTTGATTCATTTTATAAAAATTCCTGGACTGTCGCGCATTTTCTTCAATTATAACGGCTTCTTGCAAAACAATTTGACTGACAAGTTAGATGATTAGAGTAAGAAGCGATTAAACGGACTGCACTAATCAATTCATACAAGTTCATTAACTCACAAGTATGCGCATGTATCCTTGCAGTCCTAATTAAGTAACCAAGAATCAATTACGCTAACTCTCATTAACTCTATAAGAGAACTTAAATGAAGACTTAAGAAAGTTGAAAAAGATCTCACTGAAAGTTTTAAGAATTACACAACGTTTAGCAAATATTAAAGATATTGTAATGTCACGCTTAAACATATAACGCTTACGTATGCATAATGTTCAATTTGATATACTTTTTTTTTAGTTCATAAAGTCTTAAATATCAGGATAAAGTATGTTCTAGTGATTGTAGTCTAGTGACAAAGAAACGTTTTGGACAATAACAAATTGATTAGCACACAATCTTGATATTTGTTTCCACGGCGTGTAATTGTATTATTGCCATGTCGTCGTGCTGTCATTCGTGGGGCTCGATACTCGAGCAGACGGATAGGGGCGCGAGTTGCTCGGTGTAGCGTCGTATTACCCTTAACTTAATGGCGACAAGCAAATCGTAATATACACGTGAATCAAAGTTTTCTTAAGGTAGATGGTATTTGATAAGCTCGCAGCCCCTTCCAGCGAAGTCGTGATGAGTTATACGAGAGAAGGGACGAGTAAATACGCGTACGCTTATGAGCTTACGGTGAGCTCGCGGTTACCCCCGGGGGTTAGTTGGTAACTTGACACGCCTTTGGTCGGCTTCTGTCGGGCCAGCGGCCCCTTCGCCAGCGATTCCGTCCGAGGCGAAGGGTGGTTGGCCCTCTTGCACCTCGAGAGATTCGTCCTCGCGACCTCGACGCGCCGGCAACAATCGGTCTTGCCTCGGACCTCCCTTCCTTCGTACCCCCCCGACAATAAGCGGGGGAGGGGGCCGCTTACACCGCCAATTTGTCTCGACGCAACGTAATCTTTCTCCGGTCGAGGAGTTACCCACACTTCGCTTCGAGAGAGCGGGAGACGCGGGATCGCGTTACGCGGCTGTGGCCCACGCGAGATCATAATAGGACTTGTAGGAGGGTAAGTGCTTCCCCTCCCCCCTCTTTCTCTTCCTATAATGCCCCCTCCTCGCATTCGTGTATAGCTTCAGAGGCGGACAATGCTCGCGTGGCACGAGCGCGCCCCTCTTTTATTCGTCCAACCACCAGTCTTTGCCTCTTCTGGCATTCTTTCTCTCTCTTTTTCTCCAATATACATTACGCGTATATATATCAAGGAGAGAGAGAGAGAGAGAGAGAGAGAGAGCGCACGCGATTCCTCTTACTTCGATTCTCCATAAAAAAAACCCCCGGTAGCTATTGGAATCAAACGGCCGATTCACGAGAGCGCTTTATTTCGTTCTCGTCGCTACACGAGATTTGTTAATGGTTATGGGCCCAGCGCGTTGGTTACGGGAGCTCTCTGGATCGGATCTCGCGCGTGCCAGAGCACGGAGGTCGCGGAGATTACCTGCCTCCGCTGGCTCCAAGGGGGTAATAAATGTCGGCGGCGCGGGATTATCCCCGCGACCAATCAATAGAGACCATGGCTCCGCAATACGTCCGCGAGACACGCCGATAACTTTTGCCCGTAGGTATATATACGTGTAGGGTAGCTTCCAATACGCGCCAGTTTGGCTCTCCGGCTCTGTGCGTGGCTGCCGGCATATTGTGACGGAAGATACGACCGTGCGAGGCATTTTGTTAATTTGAAGGTGGCTGCACGCGGACTCGGGGACAATTTTGCGTACGAAAAGTACTCATTAATTAATCGATAAACTTATTGAAGATTTAATTTAAGCTAATAAATCCTTTTGCGTTATATTCACAACATTTTTTTATTCACAATTGTCAAGTGTGCAGCATTGAATTTAACTCGTTTATAAGCACGAAGGATTTAAAAATCAGTAGAATGTCGATGACGTGACGAGGAAACTATACGCATCGAACGAGAGACCGAATAACAATTATACTTCGATGATATTAAGGATTGCTGTCGCCTTCGCTCGTTACGACAATAGCCCCCTTCGTACAATGAGCGTTTATCGAGTCGGGATTTCACGGTCCGTTATCCCGTTTACCGAGCGCAAAACTTATTTAATCGTTGCGCAGCGCTGCAGCGGCGCGGCGCGGCGCGGCGTCGAGATTATCGCGTTATCTCGCGTATTCCCGCGTGAAGCATCTTGTTATCCGTGAATAGCGAACGAACGCGCCGCGAACGTACGATTACTAACCCCCGCGGCCACGCGGTTCGGTATTTACCTGCGAAAAGCTACAGGAGGAGAAGGCACATACTCGCGAGCTGCCTTACACACTGGTGTCAATAATAACGGGCGCGGTAATGAGTATGCGCTGCCGAGGGGGGAATGGCGGCTGCTAATACTGCGCTGCCGCCTCTTAACACCGTCCGTAATGAATTCGTCGTCGCTCCGGGAAGCGGGCGCGAGCGCTCTTACCGCGATTCAACTCATTAGAGAGCGTATGCCTGGCACGCCATCTTTGATGTCGTTGAAAGACGCGCACGAGATGAAGTTCTCTCTCTCACTTTCTCCCCTTCTCGCTCTTCATGGTACCTGGCGAGTTTATCACGAAACGCTCGGAGGCTGTACCCCGGCATCTCCCCTTCCTCTCCCCCACGGTTTGCTCATCCTTCGGAATCTCTACCGACGTGATAATAACGTTTAACCGGTGACACTCGACAAACGCGTCGACTTCTGCAGAAGCGCACCCGACCGGCCCAGCCGTTATGCCGCTAACAAACTCCGGATCTGTCGCTGGAAATAAGCGCGACTAGATCTCGTAAACTGTTCAGCGAGAGCGTTAACGCGACGACTTTCTCCGGAGTTTCTTGGACCCACTCATCCTCGTTATTTGTCAAATTATTAGTTATTTGCTGTCACGTTTACCTTAATTTTCAATGTAAACGATTGAGCCGCACGGCGAATGTTCGTTAATTCCCGAATTGTGCGCGCTTACAATGCCGCCAAACCGGCTGACTCGCAAATGTCTTTTTTTTTTCCCCACCGGCTGTTCTAATAACACGTTTTGTATTACCGCAACCGCGAAATATCCGTTTTGTAATCGCTTCTATTATATCAAGCTCGCGAGAGTTGGACGATTTATGCGTCTAATTAATGCGGTCGGCGCGCATAATTATATTATTTAGCGTATGCGCGACGCAACGACGAGAGGTGAAAGCAATTTGGCCGCGAAAGCGATATTTTTTATGGATGTCGACGGATAAACAGCAGTTCGTTAAATGAATTCGGATCCGGCACACTCTGTAACTGATTACGTTCGGCCGGTTTCGAGTCGCAACGCGGGACTAATTACCCGCAAACTATTATTACATCCCATTAAACAACTATTCCGCTGCAAACTTTCCGTCATCGTTGGAAATTGGAGTGGCGCATTAGCCGCTCCGCTGAGCTGTTTTGTTTCTATTATCGGGTAACGATCAATCGTTCCTTTCCAACGGGTTTAATGTTTGTTCGTCTAGGATACGGTATACACAGTGACTCACGAAATTGATTAAGTGTTTCGAAAATTTCGGCGACGGGGGCAACATTACTGCGTTTCCGCGATTTTCTTACAAACGCTCAGACACTCGAGAGATCTCCAGCAGAAAATAAATCTTCCAGTTAACTTCCGTATCTGCTGTCAAGCGCGCGGACCTCGCAAAAATTCCATCCGAGGGGCGCCAATTACAAAGTCGACTCGCGTGAGACGCCGATTCGACGATTCGTCGCGTCTATTCGCGCATCTTAAATACCGGCGGATCGTTTTCGCGCATAAAGACCGCCTCTCGCCCGGCGCGGGGATCGGGAGGCGGGGGATGTTTGGCGAGGGTGGCAAGGAAAGGGGGAGGGATGGCTCGACCGAGCGAACCGACGCAGGGAGGTCGGGGGGCGGGGGGAGGACGAGGGTGCCGCGACGTCGTGCGCCGGGGTTGCACAGGATGGGATTTAATCTGTGTCCCGTTTCACGCTTAGCCAAGTGGAACCTTTTTGCCTCACTTTGCGGCGCGACTCGCTTTTGCGCCGCACCGCCGCGTAGATTAACGCGAAATTATATATAAAGAATGTGTGCGGCCGGCGGGTGTGTGCACGGGTCGACGGCGTCGGGCTCGGGCGATATTCGAGCCCTAGCTCGCCGACATCATCCCCCTCTGTCGGGGGTGGTCGTCCCTCCCCCTCTCCCTCCCTCCCTCCGGGGAGAAGGGCGCGAGGCAAAAGACGATGAGCGAAAGGGGTGAATCTCGCGCGCGTATATACGTGTACAGCTAAGTCGTGCACACTTGTCCCCTCTTTGTAACGAATTAAACTTGTGAAAAACAGCACAGACTCATGTGCCGTCCCTTCAAAGGACGAGGCCGTCGCGACGCGTCCTCGCTTTCACCGTCGCCTATTTTTAACACAAATTACTCTGTCGAAAGGATAAAGTGATTCAGAAGAGTGCGAGACGAAGTGTCCTCGGATAGTACCTGTCCATATTTGAATAGTGTTTCACTAATTTAAATGAAAATTGAATCACAGCACTCGCGCGCGCGCGCGTGCGCGCGAAAAAAAAAACGAATTAATAAATTAATGAATCATTGCAAGAGATTTTATCTTTGGTATTTATGTCGCATCATGATGAAATGATACAATATATATAGAAATTATAATTTTTTTTTTAGAAATTATAATATCTATAATACATGATATGACAGCTGCGTGTAATTCGAGGATCTGTGTGCTTTTATATTAATTCGAGCAAAGGATATATCATCTTAAAAAAAATTGCGGAGAGTGTCACTTTAATTTGAGGAGTACGTCTCGCTCTTATCGTTATCATCGTCGTCGCGCCGTGCGCGTAATCAAAGAAACTTTGAACTCACCGAGGCAACAAAGTTCGCGGAAAGCGACTACACACGATCGACAAGATAAAGAAGATCAATTCCTTCTCCGTAAAATCACTTTTGATGTTATATTTTGACATTCTGAATCACGCCATGAATTATCCGATCTATTTAAGCTTTTCTATGTTTCTTGAAAATTTCGCAAAATATTTCTCAACGTATTTCAAAGCTTCACCATATTATTTCGTCGCCATAAGGGGGCTATGAAATTAAATACAGTTATAAAGTCGCATTCTAAAAAGGATGACATTATTTCTCTCTTGCATTTGCGAATCGTGGCATCCGGATGCCATGATAAAATGGTGGGGTAAGAAGAAGTACCCCCTCGAAAATTTCCGCGTTACCTCGCCGCAGAATTATTTGTAACAAGACTCTCGACTCCAATTTCTCGCTTCTCGTTCTTCATCACCATATTCCATTCCTTTCAGAGCGTGCTTGAAGCTCGCTTAAAAAGCTTTGGTTATAATGCAGGGACGACTGGAGCCGGGAAATCTTCCGCAATAAGTATAGAATTGTGGAACGGATCTGTTATTGCCAGATAGTTGCGCGGATAAAAAAAGACATCCGCGCCAGAGGCGGATGGATCTGTATAGAAATTAATAAGACATAAGCTTCATACTGTCAGTTGTAAAAATTTCCTAAAATAATTTAAAATATTTGCCATTAATTTTTAAAGTTTCAAAAATCGTGGTTCTTGTATAAAACAGAGTCTTGTAACATATTTGTTATACGTTATAAGACTCTGTAACAATATAAAATATCTTCGATTTTACGACTTAAATTTTCGATCTGATTCAATGATTACAGTCATTAAGAATTATTGGCTTCTGAAAAAATCGTCGTGTCCTCTGTCAAAGGACCTTCTTTTTACATTTTTACAACGTCGATTGATCGTAAGATGCGACGATCTCCGATCCTTTCGCATCGGCGAAAACGAGGCACGACAGAAATGGCGTAAGGACAGAAGGTGGTGGTACGAGAGGAAGGGAGACAGGCGGCGAGACAGCGAGCGAGAAAACCACTTCGTGTCGTTATACGAAGTGGATTTCGCGCAGCGACAAAGGCGGTGCAAGCCATCCAAGATTACATTCCAACTATTTCTTGTCGTTTTGCGCGGCGTAAAAGCGGGAATTAATTAAATTTGTTAATTGCAAGATGCATTTAGTAACGCCGGCTTCTCGAGTCTCCCGTCATCCGCGCGCCGTCACGGCGCTCTCTCGCGTTGCATCTTTTTCCTCGTGTCGTCCACGGGAATTTAACAAAGTGTCAAGGAAAGTTGAAAGGTCCACTTTTGCCCGCATTAGGACACGTACATGAAAAGTCGTTTTGTTCATCATAAGATATATATATATATATATATATATATATATATATATAATATATAATGTTCAATGTCATTTGAATTGTCTTAACATTGTATTCCCTGGACAAGTCGAATGCATTTCCGCTTGTACATGCATCTAATACATTGTAAGCTGTATCGCAACTATTACAATTTCTGAAGCCTCCTCACGTAATGATCGAATTACACGACACCGTACCGTATATCTATTCGTTATACCTGCAGCCATTGTCCACTCGCGTCGCAATTACCGCCGTCGCCAATGTATCTACGCGATATATTTCCGTTTCGGCGATTCCTCCGCTCGCACGTCACACGCCGTATACGCAGATGTAACCGTAATAAGGTACACGGCAGCGAATTAATCGGCGCGCAAGGGTCAAACTGATCTTCGTTACGTGACATCCGCAGGGCGGCGGAGCGTGTGATCGCGGCGCAAACATCTCCCTTGGCGTTCAATCTGACGCTTCCGGATTCCGGTGCGACGGGCGCGAGCGCTAATTAGACTAATAAGAACGCGTACACGGCGCGGCGTACTATTCCGCTGTTTACCAATCAGATGTTCTCTGGCGGAGAGGTGACGTATATACGTTGTGCGCGTTTTGATTCACAGAGGAGGACTTGATGCACGGGGGTGGCGCGGGTATTGGCGGGGGTATGGTCGGACAGAACTCAATATTTGGGTGCTCGGCTGCAGGACACAGTGGGGTTAACCAGCTTGGCGGCGTTTACGTCAACGGCCGACCGCTGCCGGACTCCACGAGGCAGAAGATCGTCGAGCTGGCCCATAGCGGGGCCAGACCGTGCGATATATCGCGCATACTGCAGGTCAGCAACGGATGCGTCTCCAAGATCCTCGGCAGGTAAGTAACCGCGCCGCGCCGCGTCTCGATCTCTCCTATATAATCCTCGAAATCGCGGATGAGCGAGTTGAGGAAATTAAACCGTTCCGCGACAGCTTGCGTAGCAACGGAATTTGATTTGCCATTGTCTACCGGCAGATCCAATCAATCGGGTTCAATGGCCACAAGACACAACTGCTTGTGCCTCCTCCGATGCAATTAGCGGCCAATCGATAAATTTGCGGCAAAACTCACAGGATTTTCTTCTATTTTTAGTGATTCATTAATGCTGCAGGAGATTTAAAAATAATTGGATATATAATAACAAGCGGATGTTACGTTATGTTTCCGTTTTTTTATGTAGCAACAATCTCCGTGAATATAAATATGATTTCTGCAAATCACGGAGTATTAATAAAGCTAGCTTTCAACATCTAAACGATTTCTCGTTTATAAAGCACCGTATTTTATTTCGGTAGCCATACTACTGTTTAAAAGACTCTACGACGTATTGTTAACGTACACTAAGCGAAAATAACAATTCTTCTTTTCGCAGGTATTACGAGACTGGCTCGATCAAGCCGCGGGCGATCGGCGGTAGCAAGCCGCGAGTGGCGACAACGCCTGTGGTCAACAAAATCGCCGACTACAAACGAGAATGTCCCTCGATCTTCGCCTGGGAGATCCGCGACCGACTTTTGCAGGAGGGCGTTTGCAATAACGACAATATACCCAGCGTAAGTAAACAAAAGTCAGATTGTTGAGACACGTGCTTAATTTGAGGAAGACGCGGCTTGTCAGATGCAAAGATGATAAAAATTGGCAAACGTCTTGATTGACTCTATCTCGCTAAGCATAACCGTAGATTAGAATAAGGCGAGTTGAAACGAGCAGATTACGCATATTCCGCTTATGCTCGACTCGCGCATAAATTCGCGACCGCGCGAATAAATTTCCCGCTGTGTTGGCGCCATACCGTTGATTGGATACGGTATAAGTTTACGCGTAATCCGCCGTCGACTTATCGTGGCGCGCAGCCGGTCGGGTGTACTTACCCGTCGGATCCGGCCACTCGACCCTAATCAAAGTCTCGTCAATACGATCGGCTGGGTGGGGTAATCGGTCCATTACGCGGACCTCGGCATTGTCCACCCTCCCGGGCGCTGATCGCCCTTCTCCGAACCCGAAGAATCCTCTCCGCTTGTACGTCCGTCCATCTACCAAACATCCTGCCCACCCAAACCTCCCTTCTCGACCGCGCGCGCGAAATATCCTCGAAGGTCGATCGTCCTCGTCTGGTGCTCCTCCGACGACGCTCTCTCTACTGGGCAGCATCCCTCCATCTCACCCACCCCCTCCCCCTCCTCTTATCGGCTGCCCGTCAGGAATACCGAGGGGGATGGCACGCGTACAAGTCGTTATCCATCGGCTTGTGAAGCAAACTCTCTCTTGCCGGTGTGTTCCTAGGAACTGTCGAATGAAGAAGGTTGATGGGAGGGAGGGAGGGGGGGGGGAGTGGACGTTGGGGATTCTAGGATGATCAATCAGAACGTCTAGCCACGCGCTCCTGTCGTCAAGCGTGTAATGCGCCCGGCCAGTGGCGAGATTACATTCGAGAACATCGCTCAATAGTGTATATCTCATCTCTTAATGCATTTAATATTTATATCATATATTTTTTCTAAAGTGGCAAACATCCGTTTTATCAATAACAATGAATTTTTAAAATTTCTTTAAAATAATGAAATATAGAACTTATATGTAGGCAAATGTACGAATTTCTTGAAATCAGTGAACCGAAAATCAGTCCAGAATTATTTGCGCGAGTAATTCAAAGTCAGAATCGAGAGAAGGGACGTTATTTGATCGACAGATCGTTCTTTCGATCGTTTCGATCTTTTCTCAACTATACTGGTGGATCGTTGGTAGCATTGGCGGTGATGTTGGCTATTGCGGCTGGTACACATCGCGTCGGGGGTTGGTGTCGGGGGTGCGCGCGGGGTTAGTCGGCGGCGAGAGCGGACGGGAGCGGGTAGAATCAGGGTGAATGGGATCAGTTAAGCGTGTTGCACAATTATTCGTGTCCGGTCGCGCGTGTAATGGCCTGCATCGACGCTGCGGCTGTTGTGCGGCGAGAGTGGAGCGGTACGGAGCGTACAACCTCGGATATCTCTCTCTCTCTCTCTCTCTCTCTCTCCGGGTATCCAGGCTGGATAGACGGTTTGATGACGGAGAGCCTGGTCCGGGTTAGCCGGAGCTAACTCGTCTCGAAACGTCGCTTCCGCTATTCGCCTGTTACTATCTCGCAGCGTCGGAACGAATCGAGACGGCGGAAGTTACGTACGCTCGATGAGCCCCGGACGTAACGGATGTGATCGATGAAAGTCGATATTTCCCAATATTCTAATATACCATCGCGAGAGACTGGAACAAGACTTTATTTTTTTTTCCTCCCTCGTATCACCTAACCATTCTTATCACATTGATGGCTTTTACGTAAAAGAATTACGTGTATTTACCAAGCTACGGTATTATAACAAAATGCAATATTCGATCCGAACGTAATCAAACCCTTGAAGTCAGAGAGTTCCTCGTCTTTAATTCAACTCTAATAGACGGCCGTGCAGCGCGCTATCCTAACGGCGGCGACGTCCTCTCGGCGTCACCCGGCCATTATTCCGTCGGTTTTGACTCAAACTACGCGAGGAGGATCGGCTTTGCGCACTCATGCCACCCTTGTCGAAGCTTGTCGACCTCGTAATTAAGAAGCTCCGCTCGATATCCGACGTCCGCGCTGCATTAACGCCTGTGTATATATCCGGCTGCTGCGCCGAGCCCGGCGTCGATTGCAGAAGGACGTGGAATGATGGGGGGGTTGGCGCGCGTATGGAGCACGCCGAGGACCATTATGTGCAAGTTGAGAGCGCAATGCTTGGATCCCTGTGCTATACGCCGGCTCGTTATAACTTTGGAGTTAGCCAGTGGCTCGGTTGCGGGCGTAAGGTGAAGACGACAACGATGACGACCGTCCTCCCCTGTCCCCCCCCTCACTGGATTGGTGGGGAACGAAGAGCCGTGGAGACCGTTTTATGTAATAATAATTGGATGGCGGTGTCCTTTCATCTGGGTATGACCCCCTTCGCAACCCGCGACCGCGGGAGGACGAAAAAGAGGAAGAAGGATCCCGCGCGCAAGGGGCGACGGCGAGGGACGGACAATCAGTGCGCAGCTACGACGACGGAAATGATTCTCGTGCGACGACGAGTGGCTGCGGCTGCGAGATTTTACAAAGAACCTCGCCCCGATCCGCCACGCCAACCTCTTTCTCCGTCTCCCTTTCCCTTCGATCGAGAATGGACGATGGAAGTGTATCTTGTGCACACGGATACATCGCGTATCATTAGTGCCAAAAAACGGCGCAACGTTTTCTCTGAATCACCAGTTTTGTGCCAAAAAATTAGAAAAAAAAAACATGGTAATTGTTTCAACAGTTTTTTGGATTAACAATGAATCAAATAAATTATTGAAAATTAATCAATATATGAGCGAGTCATGTTTCAAATTGCTTGTTGAATTATATTTAGAGATATTCAATATTAAAATTTTTTTACCTAATCATTAAAATGCTATTTTTCCTTAAAATAATATCAAATTTAAAATTTAGAGAAAGGTAAACAAATATGCATAATAATAATAATTGGTTATATTTTTAAGATACGTAAACAAATTTATGGTTACGAATTTATTTGTAATTTTTATAAAAATTGTTGCTGGCAATTTTAATAAAAAATACAGATAGCTGACAGTATTTTTTTATAGCATCTTCTTGATGCTTTCATATTGATTGAATTAATTAAATGATTGGAATTGATTCTAACCGAAAATTTCCGTCTCTTTGTAGGTGTCGTCCATTAACAGGGTACTCAGGAACTTGGCCTCGCAGAAGGAGCAACAGGCGGCCGCGGTGCAAGCGCATCAGGGTGCCGAGAGCGTCTACGACAAGCTGAGAATGTTTAACGGGCAAGCAGCAGGCTGGCCGCCAGCATGGTATTCGGCGACACCTCCCCATCATCCCCTGGCCACGGGAATTCCAACCGCGGCGACTCCTGGATCCGGCCAGACTCTTCTGCCCGGTAGCCAGCTTCACGGGCGTGACGATTCTTTGTTAAAGCGAAGCGGTAAGTTCACGATTTTGCTTCACGATGAAGTGCTTGTTGAATTATTCGCTATTTTTGTGGACACGTTTTGATTATCATTTTAGAGATCATGCAAACCAACGTTAATTTATTTTCCTGTTGTCTCTCTTTTATTTCGATTAATTAATTTGATCAAATAGTTAAAAAATGAAAGAAATATCGATATCAAAAGAAAATAATTTTATGTCATGAATAAAAATTATAAGTTTTATATGCAAAAAAAAGATTCCTATCATAATTTTAATACAAAATTTAATTTAATTAAAATTTCGACAAACGAATATTTGCTATTGTAAATTTGATACAATCTTACTTTTGAAGAGATATCTTCGAATGGTTGCATCTTCTCTATTCGTATCATTTCGCTCGATACGCTAGAATTGTATGTTGCATTGTGCAATTCTCGATCCTCGACACCTCGCACAATGCATGTACGTGCACATATGCGGTCGAGTAGGGAAAAAGGATCTATCCTGTAGCGCTATAAGTCTAATAGGATCACGAAAATCGGGCCTGCGGCATCGGTTCTTAGCTAGAATACACGAATGACGAACCCAGATGTAGCCGCCCTCAATAGGCAGATTACGTGAACCGTGATAAAGTGACAGGTAGAAAAGTGTGCTTTCATCGGCAGCTTGTTCTCCGCGAATTCCAAAATTCCATGCCTTTCCATGCAATTATGGAATTCATTTCGTGTATCGTCTTTTAATTATTTATGTCAATCGATAGATATTCTAATATATATGTATTAGAATATCAAAGTACATCTTCGCGTGCTAGATGACTTAAATGACGATAATAATACTTAATACTAACGCTGAGTCAAATATAAATGGAACAGTAAATGATTTTTTAAAAATTCGTATTAAGGTGTGTCTTGAATCGCGTCGCCACTTATAAGGTAGTAGTTTCTGCCTTACTGGATACGTCAAAGTGCCGCTTATAGTGTGTTAATACTTGAATGCACAGGAATGCATCGAACGGCGGATCGCGGCCACTTTGGCCACAGCGGGCGCATTAAGCGGCCGGATTGTAGAGAGCATCGGGCTAATCTCTTCTCTTTCTTGCACGCCGGGCGTGCGTCGTCACCTAGAAAATTAAAGCCAACGATCCGTCTGCAGCGGACCGCCGAGGATCGTTCCCGGTCTGGTCGTTACGCGCAGGGGGTGCTCGCGAGGAGATTTGGAGGGTGGGTGCCGCGCGCGGAAAGGAGAAGAACGCGGTAGAAGCTGACGGTTAGAACGATGAGGCAGGCAGGAAGGACCGGAGGGAAAGAAAGAGGCGTGTTTGGGGTGCCGGTATTTCTAGTCGAGGGGGTTTCGCAGGGTCGAGTCCAATTGGGGGTTGCGCGGGGGTTGAGATGAGCGAACGAGAAAGCGAGCAGCTGACGAGCGAACGGTATGTATTACGTATATATACATACATACATATATATATATATATATATATATATATATATGTACGTAATACATATGTATATACATACCTATACACGCGAGCGTAAGGGTGTGCGTATATATACATATATATATATATATATATATCCACCGCCGTACGGAGGGACGGACACGGATAGAGAGTGGAGGCCTGGAGGGACGCAGGGAAGGTACCGGGAGGAATGGAAAGAGACGAGGGTGTAGTGCGCGGAGGCGGAAAGTAATCGCGGCCCACGGGGCTTGACGAGGGGCTACCCTTGCGCGCGTACGAATCGACGCACCAACACGAGAGGCGACCCCCGAAGACCGGTCGCGCACGCCTGAACGCGCGGCGGTGTCTAGGAATCTCGAGAACGGCGCGGGCGGATCGCGTTACGGGATCGACCGATTGCTTTTGCCGCGAAAAGGCAGGTTCTCTTAATTAGATCGATGCTTTTCGCAATGTGTAAGAAAAAAATGCCGGAGATTTTGGACAATCGATCTTTATTGTTTAAAACGATGGAAAAATTATTTGAGGCCCGACACAGTTTAGGAAAGACGAAATGTGACAGTTTTGTGATTATATACCTACTTCAAACATAATATGAAATTAATCTCATTGTGTAATCGTAAATGAGGAAAATATCTTTAAGATGGCTGAAACAATACATTCTGAAGGAAAGATAATTAATTCTTGTTCCAGACACCGGGTCTCTATTGTCGCACCAGCAGGAGACGACTTCGGACGGTAATTCGGAGCACAACTCCTCTGGCGACGAGGACTCGCAAGTGCGGCTGAGGCTGAAGAGGAAATTGCAGCGCAACCGAACTTCCTTCTCTAACGAGCAGATAGACAGTCTCGAGAAAGGTCAGTAGAAAATCCGAAAAGCTATCAATCTTGAAAATCAATTCAAGTATACACGACTTCACGCGATTTTCCTCGACTGTGTACTCTCTTTTTTCGATCGATCCCTTTTTTTTCACAAATTTAATCGGATGTAATGCTTCGCAATTTTATAATTTTTTTTCTTGAGCTTTAAATTAAAACTTTTCATACATTTTTAATACAAACGCTATCGGTATACTCCGATATATCGAGATATTCGGCATTCTTCTCCGCTCGATCTCTCTCTGGAATCCGCTCGGCCGAAAGAAAAATACGCGATGGCCGGCGCGGCTTCGTGTATATCGCGATAATTAATGCCGACGACGCGGCTAAATAACGAGCACTTGTTGCAAACTGGTTTCGTTTCAGAATTCGAGCGGACACATTACCCGGACGTGTTTGCACGGGAGCGTCTCGCCGAGAAGATCGGATTACCTGAGGCACGTATCCAGGTGAGTGTGAATGTGCGAATGCGGCGTGTGTGCGCTTCCTCTACCGACATTTCGCTCCACCCACCTGTCCTCCTCTCTCCGACCCCCTCGCCCTCGCAAACGCTTTCCCCCCGGGGCGCGGGGAAGTCTTTCTAGCTCTTCTTATTCCGCCCGTTTCCCTCCCGGGAGGGTCGAACGGAGGCGTAAGTGCGACGACGCCCTTTCATTAAACGCTTTTAACGTGCGGCCACGTGGTCGTACGTGGGGAACATTAAACACCTCCGACGGTGAGAGCTTGATGCCGCCCGCGAGACTTCCAATGGGATTTCGTCACCTCTTTCGTCCGAACTACCTTCGCCGCCATTTACGTATTCTCATGTGCGCGCGCGGGATTTTTTTTTCTCGTCAGTTTGCGACACGTAGGAAGATGCACAATTGATTTGTTCGTACTCAGGAAATGTGCGCTTAGAAGACATACGTTGAAATCATATGGAAAATTTCATTTTGTCTTACATCCTATTCTAACAGCATCAGATTCTATGAAATGAGATGTATTTTGATCGATGATGAGAATATGGAAGCATAGTTATACAATCTAAATGTTTTACTGGATTGAACGTTGCAAAACGATAATTGAATTGAATTTTGCCCGACTTCCTGAGGGACTTGGAAAATTTTACAAATTCGAAGAATCTTTGATTGCATCGACAAAGTCAAGAATCACGGAAAACGAGAGACAGAATCTCGACAGACCCAAGAATCATTTAAATTATAAGATCAGGAAAACTCGCAAAACCTCGCATTTAAAGTGGGTAGTGCCGCTGCAACCCTTGTTCGTTTCCTCCGTAAAGTTTCCATGAACTCTCTGTTCGCCATCGCCTTTCTGCGAGGCAAGTTTATATTCTTCATGTGACGTAGCAAAGGCTGCAACTGGTAGAAGAATTACGATAATCAAAATGGAAGAAACGTAAATATTAACTTCTGTGATAATAAAAAAAAAATTAAACAGCCCGAGAGTTTGAAAGTTTCTGAAAGATCTGAATATCTGAACTGTAACGCGCTTAATTCGTTTTTATGCTTTTCATATATATATGTATATATATTTTTCTAATGTTTATGTTGCTTAAATCTTACCCAGAATCCAATGGATTACATTAAGAGTCCCATTTTATTTCGTTACATTATTCGTTACATTTTGTTACAATTAATTTAACAATTGCAATACAATTGCTAGACACAATTACATTTTCGTCTCATTGCTATAGTAATCCATTCTAAATAATTATTAACAATGTGGAAATGCTATTTTCAATGCGCTTAAGTTCTCGGTACGTATGTAACCGTGTCCATAATATATGTTGACGTTGTTTAGCAACTCTCCCATTTCGATAACACCACTTTACTTTTTAATCATACATGGGGTGCAAAATGCCGTGTTGTATAATTATAATTAATATCAACGCCGAACCGCTAATACGTACCTAGCCTTATCGAACATTGTTTGGTCGCGTTTACTTTCCACCTCCTGCCGCCTCTCACCTGCACCATCGCGATATGAAGAGACGGAAGGGTCGACGAAGTGGCCGGCGGGGTTCGGTGTGGTGGTAGTAACCGGGCGCGCTGAGCGTTATGTGGACGTACAAACAGTGCAAGACCATGTTGACGCATGTTTTCAAGCCTCGTTGGCTGGTATTGATCTTGCTAAGTGCAGGAAACCGGGAGTTCCGGCGTGGGAGGGAAAAGGAGAAGTTCGACGAGGAAGAGAAAGAGAGAGAGAGAGAGAGAGAAAGAGAGAGAAAGGGTAAGAGAGAAAGGAAGACTGAGCGAGACCGAGCGAAACCGAAAGAGGGTGGAGAGAAAAAGATAGTAGAGCTTGCTGGAGAGGACGAAAGAGGGAATCGCGGAGATCGCCGAGTTGGACCGATTGCCGGACGATCGTTGAACGGCGAAGTATGTGAAAGACGAAGAATGAAGTGCCGGGAACTCTAATGGAACACAGAGCACATTTACGCGGCACGCCACGGCACGGCGTGGCGCGGCATGGCGCGGCATGTAAAACGCGGCCCGCCCGAACCGCGAGGGATCGCGCAAAAGGCCTAAGAGGGTTCTCGGACGCAACCATGGCAACCATGGTCGTGTCCCCAGGGAGGTCGCCCTCCGATTGGCCCATCCCTCGCTTTTCCACCTATATACCTCGGCCATGGCCACGAGATTCGCCACGCCGTACTACCGCCACGTCGTCGGCCGATTATCATCCGCGGCATTCCCTAAGTCGACTCGTGCGAGCGCGATGGCCGATACGCTACGAGGGATTAAAGCGGGATTTTTGGCCCCGAGACGCCAAATGAGGCAGGCGCAAATAGCTAAATCATAAGGCTGAATGTGTTAGTTATGAACGAGATCTGTTGTGATCAATATTAACATTGCCAAGCGATTTCTGGATAGAGATATTTAATTTCTTATCGTTCATCACATCTTTTCTTCGGTAAAACTGAGAGACTTCGCAGCGTGACAGTATCCAGTACGCTCCATTAGTTTCTGAAAAGCACCGGCGAGGCGCGGTGTAAACGGGTGAATTTCTTGCGCTTTCAGTCGGCACATCGTGAATGAAGGTCGAAAGTTTCAAGGTCGGAAACCAGTGTCGGAAACCGGTCCCTCACCACATTTCGGCCGTTGACGACGCCGAGAGGAGAGCTGTGCTCTTTGAGTAGGTAACACTATAAGGACCGAACGTGTTCGGATCACGGACTTTCGCCGTGGATCGATTCGGACGAGTTTTCGGGACGAGGGAGGACGAGTTTACGAGGGACGGTAGTATTGGGCGGAAGAAGCCCGCTGCGGGCGAATGGCAGATATTTGACGGTGGGGTGGTCGAACACGATTTGCTGCGCCAATGGGAGGACAGGAGGATAGAATTTATTTTTTGATTCAATCGAGGGCCCCCCTCGTCGTCCTCGTAGCGCGCGGCGTTATACGTGAGATTGCGGAAGGCTTGTATTTCTACGTTGATGGCATTTCTTTCCGCTGCGAAAAACATCCCTCTTTTTTTTTCCTGTATCGCACACGCGATAATTCGTTACGCCGAAATCGACAGAAATGGAAATTGCCGTTATTGCTTTGTCCTCTATTTTCATCTGCGCGCACTAGCATGCAAAAATATGCGGATTACTCTTTCAAAAACTCTTGCGCTGTAACTGCACAACTATCGGCTGCATTAAATATAATTTATTAGGTGTTTGTGGGGGAAATTTTTCCTCTCCATTAATAATCGATCTGTTTAATTTCGTGACGCACGCCATTTATATCAACGCAACATTTTGATTTGCAGAACAAATTTGTAACCATAATTAAAATCAAAAATCAGTAAAGCGTAATTGTATAGAATGACATAAATTTCTCTATACATGAAGATAATTGAAGAGCGTAACAGATTCATATAATTGTGCGTCTGTGTAAAATCGACACAACAGTATTGCGACATAGACGCGTAAAAAAGAGATGTGAAAGCCAAATGCATGGTTCGTGGATTGCTCTAAGTGCCGGCGAGGGAAAACCGATATATCGAAGGGGACGAATCCTCTTATCGCCGAAAGGAATCACAAAAATCAGGAAATCCGTGCAGGCGTAGCGTATAGGGAACGATAAAGTCTCGATTTTTATTATACGAGCCCGCGTCGTTTTATTTGGGATATCGCCTCGGCATAGTGAAAAAGAACAGTCGTTGAAGCCGCTGTTAATTCTTTTGTATTCTTTTTCGCTATACACTCACATTTTTATATAATTCTGACGTTACGCTTCTTCTAATTATAGTACTGCGAAGAAACGGGGAGTCGATTGAATATATAAAGGTTAAAGTTAATCGACGTTTTAAAAATCTAATAGCATCGCAGATAGAAATAATCGGAGAGACCTTCGGGCCCGTCCCGATACTATTAATGCGAGACCCGGCGCGATTGGCGTATTATATATTCGATGTATATTACCTACAATTTTACCTACAGTACGCTCTTTCTCGGATATCGGATGCTCGATGCAATTTGTAGTACAATCAGAGGCTTGAAAAGAGAACGCGTATGTAAGCGCGACAGCGAAGGGGCGGCAGGTAAAAAACATGTAGAGAGGATGCGCGAGGGACGCTGAGCGAAGGGTGCCGCATGGGAAAGGGCCAAGCGAGCAAGAGTAACTCAATTTCCCGTCTGACAACTGCTCAATCGCAATTAACAAATTGGAGGAGCGCCTCCGTGCAAACTCGCGCGTCTCTGTTCGCACATGAGATGCGAAAAGAGTGTCTGGGCGCGCTAGATTTCGCGCTACCTCCGGGAAAGTACACGAGAGAGGCTCGAGGTCGGACAGAGGCGGGGAAAAAAGGGGGGAAAGAGGGCGAGATAACACAGGGTGGTTCGAGGGAAAGGGCGTTCTCTCCGGTGAGGAAGCAGAAGAGGAGTCGCGGAGCGTGAACGAGCGCGAACGAGTGCGAATGCGGACGAGTGCGGATGATGCGAAATACCGTGCCGGCGCGGCGGCAGCGCCGAGTGTGCGGCTGCACACTTATCGTGACAAAGGCACCGTCATTGTGTCGGTTGCAGGTGTGGTTCAGTAATCGCAGGGCAAAGTGGCGTCGAGAGGAGAAATTACGGAACCAGAGGAGGGCCGCCGTCGATCAGGTGGTCGCCGGTGGCAGCGGGGGTAGCAGCGGCGCCGCGCCTCCCGCGGCCACCCCTGCTACGCCACGGTTGCCCTTAAACGCCGGATTCAACGCCATGTACTCGTCGATACCGCAGCCGATCGCCACCATGCCCGACACGTACAGGTAAGAGAATTTTTTATTTTTTTTTATTTTTTGCGTTAAAGCAACACCATTGTTTCTCAAATGTAAAATTTATATGCGCAAGAGTGAATCGTTCGATAATAGCGATATTCATTGTTGTAAAAAATTGCAATGAACTCCGCCCGAAATTTGATTAATTCTTTTCACAAATCTCAAAATTTCGAATGTTAAATATTCCCCGGTAACTTTTATCTTAGATCCTGAAACATTTGCAAATGCAATTACCGTAATTATAGTTCACCGTTCATGCATGCCAATGCCAATATCCATGCCAATATGACTTGTTCGTTGTTTTTCGATATGGATGCTTTTCTCGTCCGCAGCTCGATGTCAAGCAGCCTGGGCGGGTCAATGGGTGGAAGCTGTCTTCAGCAACGCGCCGAGGGCTACCCGGCGTACGTGTTCCACGAGCCTCTCCACTCGCTCACGCAGTCTTACTCTCACGCGCACAGCGCGGCCGCGGCCGCGCACTCGCAACCGCATCGCGGCATCCCGACGTCTCACGGTGGCACCCCCACGACGCCAGGGGGACAACCAGCCGGACCAGGTGGGGCACCTTACCAGCCGACGACCTCGACCGCAACCGGTGAGTTCTCGCCGCGATTAATTTGCTGTGTTCCCTGCGTCTCGTGCTTTCAAGGTCACCCAAGAATAATTTAGGCAGAGACTCAGGAATAATTAATGCTCGCCGGAAGCAACTAACGATGTCGCTTAGATGTACATGTCTCTCACAACATTCACTGATAATAAAACGGCATTCTCTATTAAATTAAAATCTTTCCTAATTTTCCCCCGATTAAACGCATTTAACTTTTCAATCGGTTTTTACTAATCGTTATTTCTTAGTTATTTCATATGCGTAAAAATTTTATATTATATGATCATTGACTAGCAAAAACATCGAAGCGTTGCACATGTACTTCATATCAGCAGCTACAAAATTCTTTCTTAACTTTGCTTAGATTATTTAAAAAAATTTCACGCATCTATAGATGCAATACACATGTATAAGTACATGTAATGATAAAACGAACGAATCCTCGCCAAAAACCAGTAGAGGTTTTCGTTTCCAATTTTCACCCGGCGCGCGGCCGCCGTTTCTTCCTCGTGTTCTAGCCGGCTCAAAGCGCGAAATAAAGCGTCGAGAATTACGTGGGAGCCTCTTCACACGCAATCTACATAGTCCTGCTAACAGAACGAGAGAGAGAGAGAGAGAGAGAGAGAGAGAGGCGCGAGAGAGATATAAAGAGCGAGCGGGCAACGACGCGGTCGCGGCTCCACGCTCGCCCACGGAATTGTAAAAGGATTTTAAAACAAATCTCGCATGGCGCCGCTGGGCTGAATCGAAGAATGGGATGTTCGGCGGTTTTCCAACCCCGCCGATGTAGCTGGTGAATTTTCCATTTTCTCGACTCAACTTCTCTCTTCCTCTCTCACTCTCTCTTTCTCTGTTCTCTCTTTTTACATGCCGGTTGGCTCCTCCGTTCGGCTCTTTCTTTTCTCTCCCGACTCTCTTCCTCTATTATCCCTTTTCTCCGTCTATCTCCACATCTCACCCTCTCGTCTTCCGTTTAGCGAAAGCCACGGAGGGTCGCGCCTCTTCTCGCAGCCCGCGTCGCCTCGTCTTCTCTCCCTTTCTCTCATCCCCCTTCGCCTCTATACCCTTCCACCCTCGAACGTGGGGGGGGGGAGGGAGGGGTATACCCGCTCGCTCCTTCGTGTCTATCTATCTATCCGTCCCTCTCGTCGCCCTCCGTCGGGCTCCCTTTCGCCTCTTTCTCCGCGTCTCTCTTTCTCTTTCTCTCTCGCTTCCTCTCCCTCCTGAGGATATACAGGGGTGAACAGAGGATGTGGATGGGTTGGGTCTCGCCTCGGCTGGGCGAGCGCTCAATAACGTGCGAACCCAAAGGGGAGGAAATACGGGGGTGCGCGGCGTACCTACAGGAACGGAGCGGAGCGCAAGCCGGAATGGTGGAATACTGCGGAACACGCGCGCACTGTATCCCACCCCGCTATCCCTCTCGCCGTCCCGCACACTCTTCTCGCGGCCGTCTTTCTTCCTTTCCGCTCTTTCGCCCCCCTTCGTTTTCCCGCCATTCCTCCTGCCTCCCTCCCCCTCCCCCGCATGGTCCTGCTCCTTACGTGCGGAACGAGCCGCGGGTTATCCATCATAATCGCTTTACGTGCACGAGCGCCGTAAGGACTTTCACCGCGCTCGTTAGCGCCGCGCCTGTCCTGCCGGCTCAAACGGCGCCGTTTTCATAGTTAAGTAGCCGTCCTCTTCCCCCCCCTCCCGCCCCCCTCCCTGGAGTTAGCGGGGATTCGACCGCGGAAACGAGCGTAACCGCGCGAGTTCGCCTCGCAGTTGGCGGACGTGGTAAACGGGAGAGTCACGGATATTCGATTAATCCCTCGACATCGAGGTGACAGGATTCCTCGGATATGAAGTCGAAGATGGAGTTCTGGAGATTACTAAGATGCGATTGAATGTCGGAATCTAACAAGTCGCGTGGTCAAGAAAATTGTTTTTCGCGGCATCGATTACCTTCGAAAGCACGATTTGATATGTCATCAAATTGACGAATCAAATTTCAGTAGCGCAAACGGGGATTGCCGCTTCTTTTTTTTTTTCGTACATTCGCACCACTATTAGCCCCCGTATCGATATTCCGAATAACGTTAACTTTCAACCGAATAAAGGTAGGTGCCACGGTTAACGTAATTATGGCACGCGTCCTCGTTGTAACGTTCGCCAAATTACCCGTCTTGCATTTATGCCATAATTATAGCTCATGCGAGGAACGAAGTTGCGACGCGAGGCCCCATAGAGCGTAAATGTTTTCGCGGAAGTTTATATTGGATTAGACGCACCTCGTTAAGGTGTTTAATTCAAATTGCAGAAGTGTATGCGAAGCCGCCGCGTGCTATCATAACCGAATCCTATTTATGCAACCGTTGCCGCGGGCGACACACGCGAATACGTTTCACGTCGTTTTCCGTAAATACGTATACTCGGTTGTTTTTAGCGAATTAGTCCCGCTGCGTTTCACGCGATTAATGACGCGTTCTGCTTGCGGCACGATCGTCGTGCGAATCGCTGGAACTGTATTGCCTTAATCAAGAAGATATGTGTGTGTGTGTGTGTAGTGCGTTATAAAATTGTGAAATAAATTAAATTATTAAATAACAATGAGACGAGAAGAATAATATTTAAAGCAACAAAGATAATTACATTTTATCGAAGAATAATCCATCAGTTTCGAGGCCATCGAATACTCTGAGAAAATTAAATTTCTACTTCTTGTATGCCATGGTTCAGCCCCCGTCATTCGTACCGCTTCACCTGTTCAGAATTACTTTTTATCTCCCCGTTCCGGTTCTCCCAGTGGCTCGACAGTCTCTCCGTGCCGTGTCGCAAATGCGCTCAATCCCCCGACATCTCAAACTGTTCCAGGAGTGATATCAGCCGGCGTCTCGGTGCCGGTGCAGATTCCCTCGCAGACCCCGGACCTGGCGGGTAACTATTGGCCGAGGCTCCAGTGATCCCAGCTCTTCGGGTTCCCGCCCGCGAGCTTGCTCGTAGGCCAGGAGAGCCCGCCGCCGCCGAGCGCCACCCCGGGCGCGGTGCCACGACCGCTCCTCGCCTCCCTCGGGATACCGACGCAGTCGACGCAGCATCAGGCCCCCAGCACACCGGCGACCACCCCTGTGCACAACTCCGACACCAGTGAGTGAAACGACTCGAATTTCCGTGACCCGTGCACCACCGTCGTCGTCGCGCAAGTGATCCCCCTGTCCCGAGACAGGGCGCGGCGTTTCCTCGCGCTTGGCTTGGCCGACGGTGACGATCGCCGTCGCGACGCGCCACCGGCAGACGCGAAGAGAGACGCTAACGAGGAGAGCTCGTCCCCTCGATTAAGTTCGCGCGACCGCGTGACGCCGATCGCATCGAAGACGCGCAGTTAGTGCCGGTTGTACGTGGAATGAACACAGCTCCGAATGACGATGCGAGTGTCCGAAATTTCTCTCCACTGTCTTGTAAGTTAAAGAATTCGATTTGTTTACTTTTGCGGGCTGATGTATTTGTTAACGGGAACGTTGTCCATCCAACGTAAGTGCAAACTGGCGAAGGCTAAAAATAAAGCTTTTTATCAGGAACGTCATCGAGAGCATGCTTGACAAATGACGTTTGCAATTACCTCATGGTGTTCCGATTGATCGGACAATATTTAATTGTTCGTAGAGTTAATATCATTAAATCGTGTAATTTCCTCGCATGTCGGATTAATAACTCGCGTCCTCGAATGTTTACGACCGTCAATTTTCTGAATGGCAATACCTATCTACGAAACTATTCGATTAGGATTAGGAGATAGGATAGGTTTCCTCTCCCTTCTTGAACAATTTGTAAATTTACCAACGCCCGCATTGGCGATCGTAATGGAGCAGCAGCTCGTCGCAATTAAATCCTCTTTGAAATTCAATGAAAAAATTTTTTACCAACGCGACCTGATTACACGGAAGCGGAATTTTAGGCAGCGCAATAAGTTTTTGTAATTCGAGCTGGAACCAAATGGATAACTCGAAACCCATCTTCCACTTCGTGTCTGATCTAGATTTCGTAGATGTATACGCATGACCCCGGGTCACGCAGGGTAATTACCTGTTCACGATAGTGTGTGTAAATGATTTACGTTACGCTACCGTCATTATCACGTCGAGAATTTTCGCGTGAAGAACCATCGAGTTATCGTCGTGTTTGTACAGAAAAAAAAAAGAAGTTTCCTTAAGGTATTCATTATGTAATTTGAACGCGATCTCTCGCACATCTGCCGATAGCTTTACTGCTATAAAAGAATCTTTTTCATCAGGCACCTGTAATGCGCCGGGAAAGTTATTTTTCACTTCGTCCAACATGCGCGAATTCTCCCTTTTCAGTTTCCCAAAGTCGATCGATGTCAAGAGCATTCATTAAATTTACAGCGGCTCTCGTTTTTCGGTATCGGGGAGCTTTATTACCGGATTTATTGGATAGCGCCGGGCGCATATTGTTTGCCGCACGTTGTATCGGTTTCCGGCAAATATTTTCCTTCGTGTAAGGGCGGCCGCGAACCGCGTGGAAATTGAAAGGGAGCCGCAGACACGTAGGCGGCTCCCGCCGAAATATATTCTCGCGAGAGTTTAGGGTGGTAGAGCCTCTCTCTCCTCCGATGAGGCTGATTTCGTTGCGAGTGGGAACGGTTTGCGGGGGTTGATAGCTGCCTGGAGGGCGGCTTTTTATTCAGCGAGGCCGGCCATCGTGTCTGTCGGCAGATATGGCGTCGGAAAGACACTGCTCTCGAAAGGATGTTACGGCCCCTAATCTACGTCCGTTTGCGAACGATGTATATCGATCGACAACTTTATACGTAGAATTAATATCCTAGAGATATATAAAGGAAAATAATTTTTAAATATATATATATATACATATATATATTTATATATATTTATAATATATATTTTATATTTTTTATTTATACTTTTAAATAAAAAAAATTCTTTTGAGAAAAAACTTGCAATTTTTTTGAATATTTTTTCTGTTGTTTACTTTTGTTTGTTGTACATGATAAAAATATTGTTATTACATTATTATTAATGCGAGTGGTTCTTCACGCGTGGATTCGTCCGGTCGCGCTTTTGCAAACGCAACCGGACGCGCAATAAAGATCGCCGCGTGTATTTCAAATTATTCTAGATTTAAAAAAAACCTCATCGAGATCGGTGTGCAAGATTTATCGAGAATAGCAATATTACAGCTTCAAATCCTCTTTAACGTAGTAACGCGAGAGAATAGCACTTTTTTAAATTTCGCGTAAAACTATTTGACACATTTGCGAACGATGACAGCATGGCCGAAATGTTCGATTTGAAACTTTTCATTTACACGTCTCTCCATGATGTTCATTCCGGTCCAAGATACACGATTCTAGATTAAGACAATCCAATCTGTAGCTTGTACCATCGTTATTACCATAATGAAGGCACAGTGTAAGGCAGTATGAGGGCACAGAATGAGGTCGTGAAGAGTGAAACGACGTAATCATAGGGAAGATTTCGTAAGTGTCACACAGTAATGCCCGGAAGGCAGCAAGTAGCATGGACGTTTGCGTCGGGTATTTATTGCTATTAATGTAAATGTATCGCTGAAGCTAAATGGACCGAGGAAACGGATTCGTCCTCCCCGAGCGAATCGCGAAATATTGGTGCTCGCAGGAACGAGAAATCTTTATTGGCATCGAACTCGTTGATCATCGTCGCGCACACGAATCGAAGCACATTCTTTTCGATTATGCTGTATAAAGATAACTGTAAGATAGCATTTGTTACTCTCTTTAAAACCAGTACTGTAAATTAGAGATAATTATCACTGTATATAATACGTAAATAAGTTAGACGAATTCTCCAGTTATGTTCGAACGTATCCACCTTATAAACTAACGCAACATCTTATCCGTGTATTCAGTGTTCTCCCTCACACCGAAACGATGACTCCGTTATTTACACCGTGCAGCAGCAGAACTTCAATAAAATCAAATGATCTGAGCCTACATTTATTCACCTGTCATTTCACGAAACGCGTCGAAACGCAGAACCATTTTTATTTCGGAGAGGTGAGTTTTGGAACGGATCTCAATAGACAAATATACATGTAAAATTAATTATTACCAACAAGAATATGAAAAAATTTTGCATAATATTTTACGTATTATTTAAAAGAGTAATCCTGCGAATAAGGCGATTGCGTTTATTGCTATTTTAAAGCTACACTCTTTTTCACGAGCGATATATTATTTTACATTGTGGAATTTTTACAATAATAATTCCAGAAATCAAAAAGATAAAAATTTGGCGATTCTGTTATTCATGAAACTAGATAATTTTTTTCGCAAAAATCGCAAGAAAAAATGTCAACCACCTGTGCAGCCTTATTGTGATTTCAATTGGTGTGTATATGCGTGATCCAGTTAATCGATGCATTTCGATCACCACCTAACGGGAGAGTAGCACGTTTTTTTAGTAATTGAGTCGCGCCGCACGATCGCGTCGAATAATTAGTCACTGATTCGTAGGTGTGGAAAAAACGGCGTGAAAATAGCGATTCGATATTTTCGAATTTTATCGTTCCAGAACTCGAACGGGAGGGTTTTTTTTTCAGGAGGCAGCATTGTGCGTGCGTGCCGATATTTTCTGTCGCGATGTGCAGATATTTGCGAGCGTTTTTCCTTTTTTTTCCTCGGTAACGCGCGTAACGATCGTTTTATCGACAATGCTAACGCGTGTCGTAATAAATGTAGGTGACGAACTCTCTACAATTAATCAGCAGCCAATAGATAACCGTGGACGATATAACATTGTGTTAAACAGTAACGTGTGAAGTATGTGTAAAATTACGCCACTCGGAGCAGCGTCGCTCGTTTCTCGTCGGCGTTTACACGGTCACGTAGGGCTCGTGTAAACTTGTTGAACGTTTATACGCGAAGAGCACTTAAATGGAGAGTGTACTGTGTAAATTAGTAAATTTATATTTTTGGAAGAAAACGAAAATAAAGAGCAGCGTGAACTGAAAAAAAAAAACGCTGGAAAATCTTCGGTACGTCTGAATAGCGCCGCTGTAAAATCGATCTCGCGACGATAAACTCCAATTCGAGACAACTTTTATTTAAATCCAGTCAATACCACTTCCTCTCTCTTGTTAGAGAAATTTCATCCAATGTGAAAAAAACTCCTTGAGGAATTTTTTTTCAACATTAAATTACGCATAGAATTTTTTTTAATATAGAAAACGTTTCCCTCTTTGTGTTAGACTTATAAAATGTTTTATAATTTTGTTACTGTATAAATATTGCCACAATTTATATGTATATACATATGTAATTTCAAAAATAAAATAGAGAAAGAGGTAAACATCCAAGAAAAGAGATATGAAGCGCCCAGAATTCAAAGAATTCACAGGGATCCGAAGTAGACTGAAATATTTGGCATCCTCTTCGTGAATAAATTTCGACATTCTTGTTATTTAACTCTTTTTAAATTATTATATACATATACTTACGTGTTTAGGCATTAATTGATACCTCCTTTTCTTAATCGAGGAATAATTGCAAAAATGTGATTGTATAAAATCGAAAAGGTAAATTATATATAAAAACATTTGCGTTCATCGATACTATTTCTCTACTCGAAGAAGTATTCCGGGACGAATTGAATACGCATCCGCTAAATGGTTGCGTATTACACACGTCTGCACGAAGATCCTCTGCAAACAGGCGCTGCACTTGCAACAGGCTGTGCATTTCGCGAATAGTAGATTAAAGTACTCTTCTCATTTATTATGTTACCTTTGTGAATCCTGCATTTGCAAAGAACTTTTGCGAATTGAACGTTACCGCAATTTTATGCGTATGTAAAATGCGTTTCAGCGAAATTTATGCTTTAATCGTTATACAACCCAACATTACGCGGAAGTGGTTACGCGACTTTCTTATTATCTGTAATGATACTACTAATAACAACTACAGTGTATGAATATTAACAAATTTATTAATGAAAATAATATATTATTGCGACAGTAATCTATGTAAGTGTTGTGAATAATGAGATAATATTGTTGCTGTGATTAACTTTAAGATTGTAAGTAGTAGGAAATAGAGAACCACTGTTAGGTGTCACTGTCTCGATTCAATAAATGTTATTTCATTTTAAAGCCAAATCATCATTCTTTATTCATATTGTTATATTCCACATTAACATTACGTAAGTTCTTATATAATACATTACAAAAAATATAACAACATATATATACTCATCAGCAAAAAAACCGGGTACCTAGATTTTAATAGATGCCCAGTTTTTTTGCCAGTGAGTATATATATGTATATATATATATATATACATGACTATAATAAAATATTTATAATAATGCTGCACAACTGTAATTCACGACTATCAATTATATTTTATTGTTTCGTAAAACATAAAATTAGTTCTTTGGTACATATTAACATGAAAACCAACATTACAGTTATTAAAAAAAAAAAAAATTTTCATGTTAAAAACTATAAAGAATTCACAAATTAAATATTCAATATAATCTGTTGTGCATCATTATGTGATTTTATGCTCTGTTTAGAATATCACATTTTAATATTTACGGAAGTACGAGAAGGAGAACAGGTTTGTATGACACTGATCTACTATCTATAATTATACTACAAGAAACGTTATTAATTGAGATTTGCGACTTAAATCAATCTTTTGATAATATTGACGTTGTTTATACTCGCATCAAGCGAGACGGCCTGAGCCGCCTGAGAGATCTTCCAGAACTTCCAGCAGAAGTGCCACGATAGTTAGCCAGCAAAGGTACTCTTTCATTAGTAAACATTATTAAACTCATCTCACAACACAATAAAGAAGTACACGATAGTATAATCAATCGCGTTATTATCAGAACACTCCAGATAATTAGCAAAGTTATATCTGAAAAGAATCGATCAATAGAGCGAAATAATCGGCATTATTTTTACACGAGTAATAAAGCAGCAGCGAGGACATACCTGCACTTTGAAAGGGCGGATATACGAACGCTAAATGAAATCCGGGTATAGTTATCCTCCTGATTATGGTGACAATAATATATTTCAAATTGCTTCCGATATAGTAATCGAGCGCGACGATTACGAAGTAAGATCCGAAAATCGCACGCGCAATCATTTCAGCGGCATGGGACATCGCCATCAGAAGTATGGTTATTGCAAGTATTAGGATTGCGAATATAGGCCAGAATAACCAATTATGCTCCAAAATGCAAAACATCCAAGCTGTAAGAAACCGGTAATGAGTTATGCATCGGTGTACACGCATTTCCGTCGCGGTAATTTCAACGCGGTACGTCGTTGCGGCGTGCGAAAATTTCGGTGGTCCAATTAACAGACGCCCAGATACATCATAATCGTCCGTTTTACCGCTGCCGTGGTGCAAGCGGTTGGCTCAGAGTAAACAGCGATCGCGCGGGATCATCTGTCGGCGGGATAGAATTGGGCCCGATTCGCCGCTCCCGTGCAGTTGTGCATGCACGCATCGCGTAATCTAAATAGGCCCCGGCGCAGAATAAATAAACGGAGACACAATTAGGTAAATGCGAATCTTCCAAGCTGGTTACACCGTGACGTGGGAGTCGCGCCGGCGGGTAGTCCAGCATCGCGTGCGCGCGCGTGTGTGTGCGTGCGTGCACGCGTATCCCGCGCGCGGTGGCGGCAGCGACGGCGGCAGCGACGAGCGCATTTTTGCGTTTGTACCCCGGGCGAGGGTAGGCGAAGGGTAGTCGCGGCGTTATGGTGAGAAAGGTGGGAGGCAACGTGAATGCGCCATGCCGCTTCTGCATGGGGGATTCGGCGGGCGAGGTTTCCACATGAGCGGCCAGCATTGATAGAAGCTACGGGGAGAAACTGACTGTGTGCGCCTCTCATCCCTTCGCCAAACTCGAACTAACTTCGGGGTGGCGGCGCAGCGCGGCTCTATCCCTCCGCTTTTAAGCCTGGCTTTCATTATTTTCCTATAATTCGCAACAGCCCTTCGCGAGCACCGCGGCGTGGAGAGGCTACCTACGATTCCCGCCTTCCCTATCCCTTCGCGTCTACTGTATATTATGTGTTACACTGTATTTCGCGACGAGTTTTAGTACTGCCGATACCTGTAGCACACTGAGCGCGATAGTTAGGACGTAAACTGACTACTGATTCACGACAAAATAAAAAATATATAAATTGCGAAAAGGGCCTTTTGGAAAAGGGACCAAGACTTGTTAATATATTTCTTTCTCAATATATCGTTGCAAGCCAATGCACTTTTCTGAAACGCGGCTTTGATCGAGACGTAATACGTACCTGAAGTACCCGCGTAGAGATATGCGATGCATGCGCACAGGAATCCCAATGACACATTGCGTAACGATACAACACATAAGAGTGCCGATACGGCTGGAGTAACGAATACGGCAAATACCAAACCTATCAGGACCTTGACTGAAAGAGACAAGAGTCATTAAGATCGCGCGTATTTTCTCGATGGATAAATCAAATATGATAAGTTGTAATAAATATATATTGTTTCATTGAAATGTTTCGATAAAAATTGATGTATGTATTACTTGCAACGCTGTCGCCAATATATAATGTTGCTATAATGTACCCAAGGACACCAGTTATCATAGAACTCGGTAATAAATCATCTACAAAAGCGCATTTGTGCCCGATAATAATTGACAGAAAGCCTATAATTAGGACCAGGGCGCAAACTATCTTTGCGAATGTGTCATCTAAAAAAAAAAATGACAAAAAGACAAATAATTATATTAACCTTTTGTGAGACACTTAACATGTAATTTTGCGATGTCTGAGAGATAGTTGCATGTTTGAAAAGGCAGAGAGAAATTGTTTAAAAAAAAAATATTCATACTTTTACAATACTACCTCATTAAAAGAGAGGCATAATTCTATCGTGAAATGTATATATTTTACGCAAAAATATATAACGTTTTAAATAGACTCGAATGTTATCCGTTATCGTCATGATGAAATATAAAATGGTGGTTTGAGAAAAGATAAGAAAACGCACTCAAACCCTGACAACTCTCCGGATAGAGCAGAGGGCTGCAAGCGTACGTAAAGATCGGAACGTAAGCTGAGGAGTAATCTTCGTAAGTAGCAACTGCGGCATAAACTGATCCTGTGCCGGCGTACGCACTGTAGATACGTCTCATGGAACTCGTAAGAGCACCTGCTGGTATCTACCAAGAAATATTCTTAATTGTACGTTGATTCTTTTTAATCACTATCAGATGCATTCTAGTGAACGAGTATATCGGCAATCTCTGCTAACGAATCTCTACCTGTGCAGATTACTATAACCACTGTGCGTGTATAGAATATAAATAAGCCGAAATAGCGCGCTATCAGTTCCACACATGGCATATAGTCGGAGACTGGAATTTTATCTGTCTAATAAAATGAGATACCTCGTCGCCGTTCTGCGCGATGTCGTGCGCGGTCAGCATACTCGCGATCGCGTCGAAATACGTATCCGGAGTGAAGTCCTGCCTGGGCAGATAAAGACGGTACATCTTGTGCTGCACCGCGCTTTTTTCGCAGGGAACCGGTGAACCGTCTGGGGCGAGAATCGAGGCTGGCTGCGTGTCTACCATTATCATGCCGTTTTCTGCGCGGAGCTTTTGATACGGCGATACCTCGATATCGAATTCCATATTACAACCGCCCGGTGTCGGCGCTGCGGAGGGAAACAACAATCGGCCAATGAACGACGCTCTGATGAATTCTCTCGATACTCGACCAATTTTGCCATTACGTACGCCGTCGAAAACGGTTAGCTATTCAACCAATTTACGCGCGACGGATAATAGAGATGCGCCGCAAATTAATCGAATGCACATCTTGGTATGATTCCCGATTTGTTTGTGCCATCGCGAACAACGTAACACGGCTATTTAATTTAATACAGCATATAATTTTTCGGTCTTTATCGCGTAAATATTGTCCTCTTGCAATTGTCTTTATACATATAATATGGCCATTAATTTTATATTATATTAATGGGCAGAGCGCGCGCGTTGTGAGCGGCGCCGAATTTAATTCCAACGAATAAATATTTTGCTCGAAAAGGAAAGTGTGACAAGGACAGAGGTGTATGTATTAATATTATTTGTACTTACCATTTCGGCCATACGTGACAATCACGAGCAATGCATCGAGATTGTGCACGTTGTCGTGCTTCAAGAATACTTGTATTGGGCCCGTTACATCATGCGTTTTTAAGTACAGACCAATGTTCGAGCCGAATAAACTTTTGCTCGACACTTTATCAAGTAGCGCTTTGTCGTAAGATAACGTGGCATTGTATTGAAATGTGTGAATTTGTAGAATAATAAACCAAATTTCCGATGGAATATCTGTCACAGTGATGCTTAAGCGATTAAATGGGACTAAATTTATTCGTTGTTTAAATGCGTCATTCTCACTATGATTCCATAAAGATACGGTTATTCCACTGTCTGCAATACAATACATTGAACGTCGATATTATTGAAGATAATTACAATAATTACATTGTACTTTATTATGAAAAATTAAATATTTCTGTAATTTTTTGTATCTTTAGTGATATTTATTTAATTTCCGACGCGACACGAGAGCGCGTGAGTTATAGATGACCCTGAGTTATAGATAATTCTAAATATAAAACAACACAAAAAATATATCCACAAACGTACATCACATCACACAAAACATCCGTATCTGCACGTATTCTATAATAAAGTTTTGAGCAAAGCCCAGTGGAAGCAATTCGATATTAATGAAGATAATTACAATAATTACATTATACTACTTTATTATGAGGAATTAAAGATTTCTATAATTTTTTGTACCTTTAATACTATTTATCTAATTTCTGATGCGACACGAAGGCGCGCAAATTACAGATAACACAAACAATATCCACCAACGTCAAAATATCTGTATTATGTATTCTGTAATAAAGTTTTAAAGCAAAGTGCAGTGAAAACAATTCGATGAATAGCAATTACTTGTAACTATAGTATATAAATATAAAAAAATCAGATCTGCTTTTCGAAAAATATTAAGATTAATTGTTATTTATTGGCCGCAATCATTGACATGTAATGTAGGGATTTGAATATTATTGGGATAACAATTTGAACGAAATATCCAATTATTACCCTGACATAAATATTTACTCGCTATCTGAAACATTTAGGTCATAACATTTTATACATCTCGAAAAGTGTACTTGAATGCTTCAGTTACTAAAGTTATGTTTATATTTTAAATAGTTTAAACAAGTATACAGACATCCGGGAATTGCTTGCACATTTTGGAAAATCAAACTGTCAAATTATTGGAGTATTAGTTTCAAGTAGTTATCAGGTGATAATCGATACCTGAATATTTACTTACACATTTTAAATAACGTATAAACGAGCATTTAGATATTCAGACATTACCCGCACTTTTTCAGGAAGTGTGTAAGTATTCAATTGTTTAATATTATACTAATTTCGGATAATGGGCAGATATTTAGATATTTATATCAAGTACCAGAGTAACATTCATATGTTTGCAGTAGCAGGAGCAGATCGATATTATCAGCACATTTTAAGTAATGGTAAGTATTATTCGTATAAATTTCGAATAGTGTGCAGGTACCCGCATAATTGAATATTATGAGCTTTAAAACTTACATGAAGCTTTAAAACTTACATGAAAACTTACATATTGTTTACAATTTTGTGGAGCAGTTTGTTGAATATTGAGGTTATGTACGCTTACCAGACACTGATTCGGTAGTCGTATTTTCTAACGCCGCCGTTACGTTACCGAGAAATAACGATAAAACTAATAGAGGAAGGATAACAGCTCGATTCATGTCGGCGCACATCCCGTGTTTACTCGCTCAAATTGCTGTCCAAATGCGAGCCGACGTTCTCGTTGCGACGGCGAATCGGTACGGCGCAACAGCTGTCATTTGACACTCGGCTCTACGGAGCTCTCGTGCTCGTTCGTGGCGCTCGTACACAACGGCGGTACGCACGATTCGCGCTATCTCGCTCGCTCCATTCATAAGCAGTGCGGAGCGAGCTTCGCCGTCTCGCTCGCACCTGTTACGTTACTTTAGCGGGGCATCCAGCTTCGCGAGGCCGCCGGACGGCAGCGCGTCAGTTCGCCCAAGATGGCCACGTTGGATCAATGAAACGCGAGTAATCGTAGTGAAAACACAAATTGACAAGTGTGCGGGCGAACATCGCGGCTTGTATCGCGGTGTAAATGGACCATGGGCAAGGACCAGGAGCTGCTCGAGGCAGCAAGGAGCGGCAACGTCACCGTGGTCGAGAAGATCCTCGGCCAGCGAGCCAAGAGGAGTGGTCCACTGGCAAGGTGGGTGTCACCGGAGCCAGGCTTGACAACTTCTGCCTCGTTGTCGCCTTTCCTCGTTACCGAGGTCATTTCCTCATTCCCAGTTCCCGGCTCGCCCAGTTCTCGACCCCTTTGATGACTTAACGACCGCCGTCTCGTCCCGAGTACGTCGACACGGGCATGACACATCGTCTCGCGCATTCCATTATCGAACCGCACGCCGTGCGCTCATTTCGGCACACTCCGATATTCGCGTCTCGCCGATAAGGCTCCGCCGCAAGGATCCTCCGGCCCACGGCTCGGCACGGTTTCGCAATTCTCTCCGCGGCGGCCGGGCTTGATGAGGAAACTCACGCGAACGGGGTTAAACGAACTCCCACCGATGAATGAGCACCGGCGTTCTTTTCTTTTCTTTTCATTTTTTTTTTTACCACAACGATGACGCTTCTTATTACGATAATAATTCCTTCACGCTCGATCGAACGTACCGTGTCGTCGTTCGATTAATCCATGGCTGTCGCGATTGACCGCTCGCCAGGATTTCTCGCCGTTAGCTCTACCGTTAATTACACGAATCATTGCCCGCGTTTCCACCTTTATTTCGGTCGCGAACACGTCCGCGTTATCGAGATTCCTATTTCAATTTTGTACATCGATTAAATAACGTTTTGGTGTAATGGTATTTAATGTAAGTAGTTTAATATCTCTCTCTCCCTCCTCCCCCCTTCTTTTCCTTCTGACATTAATTTTATTTCATCACGATTTTTTCATGCAATCATGTGATTGAATTGAATCTTGTAATTACTCCATTAAAGACAAAATCACTATAATGGTTGAGTTTTGTCCTATTATTAGAAATATAATTAGGCATTATAATGCATTGGCAGTAATATTTCGTTCGACAGTTCTGTTCACTCGAATAGCTCATGATTTTGCCGTGACCATGAATCATATCGAACACGTACACTCGGTGACGTTGCATGCCGATGTGTTGATACCGAGCAAGGACTTTGTCGTCAATTATCTAGAGCCGCATGCAATGTTTCCTGCAACGTCTTTCTCTAAGCTGTTAACATGAAATAATTAGTATCGTTTAGCACTTACGTTCTTTGCCACGCTACGAAGAATATGCAACGAAGCACAGAAATGTAAGAAAAAAAAAAAAATTTGAAGTCGCGTGTTAAAAATGCGTTGCCTCTATTTCCGAGCTTTAGCTAGCAACGCGCTTATCGAGTCACTCTACTTTCTATTTGCGGCGATAGCTAGCTAGCGGGATCTGTTTGGCGAGTGGCTATTCTCAAGGGTTCATCGATAACGCGGAAGAACGCAATAGGCCACCGCGAAAGAGCAGCGACCCCCGATGATCGGATTCCCGTTTTAGTTTTCCCACACGAATGTGGAGACATTTAAATCCTTCGCGAATGAATTAACGCTAATTGCAAACGATTTCGCGAACACGTGCATCACCATGGGAATGTCCCGTAATTTCGCATTTATTTCGCGAGAACGCGCTGACGAATAATCGGATAGGCGCGAACGAATGTGTTTCGTCCCGACGAAAAAGTTCCGCGCGCGGAAATAAATTAACGACCGGTGTACGGCAATGTCGTCATTATGGTCAAAATCAGAGTAAAGCAATTGTTCAGTCATCTGTCAGGTTGTCGCACGCCCGTCGAGCAACGCGATACTCGCATCGATTCGCGCGATGCTTAAGCCCTAACTACACTGCCCCATTTTTGACGCGATATCATCGCGTGTCTAATTACTTCAGAATAACGTAAAGCTTAGATTTCTCTTTCGAACGATGTGAAAAGTACACCTAGAAAATAAATCGCTTTATTTTCAGCTCGAGTCGATATATTTATTTTAATATCATTACGTATTTTATGATAGAAGTCCACACGGTGCTTAATTAATAAAATCAATTTTTAAATTAACTTTATTCTAATCTCAGAATTCTCTCTGAAGACTACGTTTTATATTAAGAGACAAATATCATAATACGCGCGAGTCTATTGAGTCTATTTAAGAGATCGTTGTAAAGTCATGTAACATAAAGGGAGCCTTAATGCGCCTTGTAACATGCGTATTCAAACAGACGATTAGTCACCGGACGTGTAGAGCGAGTCGATCGAACGCGAATCCGAATGAATTTATTATCGCGCCGCGTCCTCGCCTCATTCAATTATACCGCGATCGCCGATGGTGTCGTTCCGAGCGAGTGACGCTCGCGTAATTAGTGAAACACCGTCGTCTACTCGGCGGCGCTCTTTATTGACCCAGTGCCGCGAAGTCCTCGACAAAGACGGACTTTGTCGACGCTCTACTCGCTCTTTCTCATTAATTAAGTCATGCTACGACGACGGCGCAAGAAGCTCACGGTTTGTTTTTCGAGGGACTCGTGCGTGCGTGCGTGCGTGCGTGCGCACGTGCTACGCATTCATGCATTTTAAGAATGACTGCATCGCGCGACGATGCAAAGAGGTAAAGGACATCGAGGGAGTGAGAGAGAACGAGACAAAAAAAAATCCATTTATTATTCAGAGTGAGAGAGAACGAGAGAAATCTGTTTATTAGAATCAGCTCTATCAGAACAAATATAGACAAATATTATTAATACGATATTGACAAATATACACTATCCTGGATTATATTTTTCTTGGGCCATGATAGATGTCAAAACTTGGAGGAGAAATGATAAGGTATAAATAAGTAAAGGCAAAAAAAAGTTTCTCGCCTGATATCGGCTGGCTGTTACTTTATATCAGATATCGAGATTGATATTGGGTATTGATTCAAGCAAGATAATACCAGAAAGCAAAACTAGGCCATTAAATTTTTATTACGAAAATCAATCAAGCGTAAGAGATGTGCGATAAATTTTCCATTACATGCATTTACCATTTAAAAATCAGAAAATAGAAATACAAAAAGCAATTGGGAAGCTTTGCAATTTTTGTTCACCGTCCTTTAAGGACTGGTAAGAGGGCGACAATCCGCCGTCGGTGATTCCTAAAATGTATCATAACGAACGCGCCGTTTCTCTAACGAATTGTCTCTCGTGCCTGACGTCGGGAGCCGCGCAACTACTTGTCCGTAACTACAAAGCCAGCCCGCGGCAACTTCTCCCGCGCGATTTCTTCTTCTCGTTACTCCGCGACCTCTTCACCGCTCCTTCCCCCCTCCCCCCACACGCGCTTGCCTTTTTGCCCTTCTCGTCGAGATCACAGAAAAGCAATATAAAACGCGACCGTCCTGAGAGAGCGTCCTCCGAGCCCCTCGACGCCATCCCGGCGGGTGAGCTGAGAATATTTTGCGATGCTAATCGCGAAGTGGACGCACCACTTTTCGTGTACGAGCGCCCGCGAATGTATGCTTATCCTTTGTTCACCGTTGGCTTTTTTTTTTTACTTTGTATAGGTGTGATAATTTTAATCACAGCTTCGTAAAAGAGACAAAGCTAGGAAAAATCTTCTCGCGAGATAGAACATAAGAAAATCGATACTGTAACGTGAATTATGTAATATAGGGTATAAATATTCATATCTCTCACACATGATATATATATATATATATATATATATATATATATATACATATACATATGTGTATGTGTGTGTGTGTGTGTGTGTGTGATATACATGTATGTATGTATGTTATGTATAGTAAGTTCAAATTTGTCGGAAGTAATTTCATGCCAATTATAAATGTGTAATAATCAAAATCCAATAAATTGCAGCCGGTTGATTTGCTTGCTTCGCAGTATTTGCGATAATTAAAATATGTTTGAAATTAAATATATATTAGGTGCGCAATCTTTTACCGAGAAAAACTCGTGTCTATATTTTTCTTCAAGATTACTGTTATTACTATTTTTAAAATATTCTACATGTATAAATTTGTACTAAATGCAGGTGTTTCTCTTTTTTTTTCTCGCGGCACCTGTCGTCAAATATTTCCGAAGAGGACATTCGGTTACGTCAGCACGTATCGTACCTCTCTTCTTTGCCGGAGGAAACTATCGATTGATGCCGTAGCACCCCTCACATGTATACACCCTCACAGCTTTCAACTTCTCTCTCGCACGCTCGCGTTCCCTCTCCCTTCCTTTCCCATCTCTCTTCCTCCCTCCTTTTCATCGCTTTCTCTTTTGCTCCTTCTCCCTCTCAGCCTAGTTTTCCTCTACACTTTGCCTCCGGCATAAGGGTGCGTTCGCGCTAGACACTCGCGTTCATGGAGTCGAAAAGACCTCTCCGTTTATCCATCCGCGCGCGTTTTATATTTCTTTTTAAGATACTTACGGAAGTTCCATTACCGACTGAACCCAAGTACTCGTATGTTTGCATCGTTCATTATAATACATAAAGATTATTTCCGATCCTTCTACAATGAAGCGATAATCAAATATTAAAATTCATAACATTATTTTTTAATTTATTTTAATATTACATTTTCTTTCATATATTAAAAGCAAATTTAATTTTACATTTGTATTAAGTGTTTTTTAATACACTTAAAATTACTTATTCAATTATTTGTACATTTTTACGATTGATATACTAAAGATGTTGCTTATCATAATTAGGCCGTCCGGACAAGCTTATATATTTTCCTTTTTTTTTATTTTCGTATCGGAAAAGAACAAAAGCTACGATTATTAACGCTGCTGGAAACTGATCCGCGATGTCCATTTTGACCATGCAACTTCTTGATTAAAACCAACAAGAAATTACCATTATACGGTGTCCAACAGACGGTCCTTCCACCAATGATCGTCCTCCCCTCTATCTATATCTCTCTCGCCCCTCGTCTCATTCGTAATGTTCAGCGGGGTTACCGGGAGTACGATGTCCTTTTTGCAGACAATCTTCAGGGTTTAATTAAGGAACTTGGAAGAGCGGATGAACTCGATGAATGGGGCGGACGAAAAGTGAAAGGGCAACGTTGAGAGAAAAGAGAGATGGAGAGAAAAGGGTAGAAAAAGAGAGTCAAATGTTCTTTACTAACTCAGGATCGCAGCACGCGAACGCTTCCTGGTCATTCCACGGTATACGTGCACGTCGCGCGTGCACGTGTGCGGAAACGCGCACACGCATGACGGCGCAACGGCGTTTGTGTACATGGCTTTAAGAATTGTGCACCACCCTCGTTGTTGTCGGGACGTGGAAAACAAACAGCCATCTCGGCTCGACGATCGAAAGAGAAGGCGAAATAGTGAGAGACGCGCTCCGGTAGGAGGACAGAGAGCGGAGTTGTGCGATCGAGCACAACGAAATTCTAAAGCTTACAAATTGCACCGCAGGCGCAAGGAAACAAAGAAAAATTAACAGCAGAAAAAGTACAACGTCGTTAATAAGATCGATCGATTATAGATTTATTTTGCGAGACGCTTGAAAACAACTATACTTCTTTTTAGCGCCCGATTATGCTCATTATTATTTTTTTTTCGTGCCATTTCGTGATTTCCATTTTTGCTTCAGTGGTGCGTACGTTTTGCCACGCCTGTAATATCGCTCTCTTATGCGACACAATTTTCTTTTTGATCTCTGTTACAATGGTGTAAGAGTTCCTCGAGGAGATGAAGGGGAGAGTCTCGCTCGAAGCTTACGTCGATCGTCGCGTGCCGCCTACGGAAAGTCAGCGATTTAGAGTGCGTGTATCCGAGGGGTTAATGACGACGTTAGTTAATGACGGCGCGCTTTGATGTGCCGCTCGCATACTGGAAAAAAGTCTCCCGCTTACGTAATTGTTTTGTAAACTGAGCGCGATGCTTTGACGGCAACGTCACGTGGGCGTGGGATTAAAATGTGTGTATATACGCTCTTTTAACGAGGGAAAAAGTTCCTGCATTTCCTTCACACGTGCGAGTCTGCGAGATCGATAATGCGGGATTCCGGCGATTCAGATCGCTTGGAACTAATACGATAGTAAGTAATCAGTGATTTAATTATAAATTGCCATTTGAATCTAAATATCAATCGAATCGATCGCTCTCTCCCTCTCCTCTCTCCCCTCCCCCTCTACGCAATAATACTTGTTCCGTATATCACACACAAGATTCATAAACTATTGAGTATAATATTTTGCTGTAGGCGTACATTTATGTATAATTATAGCATTTATTATGTGTGTACATATAATAAATGCATGTATGTATGTATGTATGTATGTATGTATGTATGTATGTATTGTACATTTCTTATGTGTTAAAGATATCTGTAAAAAAAAGAATTCATTCATAATTCCTGATATTCATAGGTTTATCTCCTAGATGATAGACCGAGGGTGGAACATATATATTTTTGCGCTTCACTCCTCATATCGAAGATATATAAGAGCTGCGCAAATACCGTGCTCGAGTTGTGACATTTATTAGTCGTCTAATGTCAACATTATGCTGTCTAATAACATTTCTCATTAAGACGTACTTTGATGCGAATATACAATATGTATAGTACACTATATAAAAATAGACGATCATATACACCGTACACATTGCGAATTATTTTTCTTTTCTTAAGATGACCGGTGTCGCGAAAGAAACTATCAATTATCGAAATGTCGCCCTTTTTTTTCCACTGACATTTCTTAAATTGACGCCTCCTAGCGCCCATAATGTTTTAATCGTTAGCTACGAGCGCGACGAGAATATAATGAGCAGTGTATTTACTGGGTTAATTAGGTGTTGGCAATAAACTTACTGTTACGTGTCCAGCATTACAACAACACTACGTCGGAATGACTATGTCGGTTAGGTAATATCGCACTTACGGCACGTACGATCGTCGGAATTTTATTACTGTGAAATGAAAACATTAATTGCGGCTTTTCACCATTGATTCATTGCTGCGCGTAAATGCTTCGGTTCATGTCGCCAATAAATTCCTCATTACGGGCCTTTGAAAGATTTTGATTTCGATTATGCGCTTAATTTTTTCTTTTTCACAGCGACTTAGTCTCGCAAAATAAAAAAAAGAGAGAAAAATTTACTTTTATAAACTTTATTCGGATCTTTTTTTTTTGGAATATTCTCGAAATCCAGTCAATTCAAGCGCCTTTGAAGCGCGGATACTCAACGCTTCGAGGACGGCTGAATAGCCGCCGGCTTTCCTCCCCCTACGTTCCTCCAATCAAATCCACTTGGAGAGAGACGGGATAACGAGAAATTCCTCTATCGGCAAAGCGTTGCAGGAATATCTGGATATCCGATTCAATAAAAGGAAGCAGAAAGGTGGCGAGAGAGGGCGGGAGTCATAAGTCGCCGGAGAGGAGCGCTGCTATATAGCGCGCCTCTTCCGCTTTTCCCGAGGGTGCCGTCGTTTACACGGTGTTTGCGGGGGCGCGACATTTATCTCCGCGCGAGGGCAACAAAGGCACGTAATGAGAACATGTGTTGGACGCAGGAAGCTTCATTAGCGAACCTGTTCCTTTTCACGGAGCACATCATGTCATCTAACCGTATGCGCGCGGACGCGCAGATACCGAGATACGCCGCGATTTTTTGGCGCCGCGAATCCATGCCGCATGTCGTGTACTTTCTTCGAATCACGAATATCAAAAATAAAACTAAGAAATACAGCAATTCGATATCGAATCATCAGCAGTTTTTTAGTAAAAAAAAAAAAAAAAAACGATACGTGCGAATTTAATTCTTCTAGCGAATTAAATCTAACGAATTGTCTGTAAGATTATTTTGTAAAAAGATTTATATTTTAAAGAAATATTTTATTTTTTGTATCATCATTATTTGGCATCTTCTGCGATAAATTATAAGTTAATCGTGATTTATTAAAAATAAAATTTAAAAATCTAACGATAATTTATATATTAATATCTTTAATTTGATATTTAATTTGATTTTCTATTGTACGATTAAGCAATATTTCTATTTGCAGTTTACGTCGAGGACCAGGTGCTAATGTGCAAGACGCCAGTGGATATTCAGCTCTTCATCATGCAGCCCTGAATGGACATAGGTACAGTATCTTGAATATTTTTTAAAAGTGCTTTAGTATATTTTTTTTAGACTATTAAAAATTTGATGTCGCGTTTATCGAATTTTTAAAAAATAATCGTATTTTTTCTAATGTTTCTTAAAACATTTATTTGCAGAGACGTGGTCAGATTGCTGCTCCAATATGAGGCTTCCACCAATGTCGTCGATGCTAAAGGTTCCTCACCGCTTCATTTAGCAGCTTGGGCTGGAGACGCGGAAATTGTACGATTAATTCTCAATCAAGGTCCATCGGTACCAAAAGTGAATCTTGCGGTTAGTAGCATGACATCGATTTTATGAAAATTTCATTTTACATTATAAACGTATAAAATGATTATTATATAGGATGTGCTTTAAGCACTTTATTATATATATATAATAAAAAGATATGTATATATATATATATATATATATATATATATATATATACATCTTTTTATTAAACTAATATAAGAAATTATTTTACGAATACAATTATTTGTCAAAGCAACATATTTACTGTATTTTACCATGTATTTACTGTAATTCAGTTTAGTAGAAACAGCTTTGATGAATGTCGCAAATTAGTATGCAATATCTAAAAACAACTCTCTAAATATAATATAACTCTAAATCGTTTGGTTACAGACAAAGGATAACGAAACTGCATTGCATTGTGCCGCGCAGTACGGGCACACGGAAGTGGTGGCACAGCTGTTGCAATACGGATGCGACCCTAGTATCCGCAACAGCCGCGGAGAATCGGCGCTCGATCTCGCCGCGCAATATGGCAGGTAAATCGCACATACGACTATATCTTTTTCAAATACATATTTTCCCGTAAACACTTTATGATATTTGCGGATATTAAATTTCGCGATCGATATTACCGCTTCGATCGGAGAGGGGGGTGGGCATTACCGATGTAATCGTGACGTTTCTTACAGATTGGAAACTGTGGAGTTGCTCGTGCGAACGCATCCTGAATTAATCGAATCACTTCGTAATTCTTCCTCATCTCTGATCTTCCCGCATACACCATTGCATTTAGCTTCACGCAATGGCCACAGGTAAGAGTTTAATTTAACTTGGCGTATATAAAGAGAATAATTCATAAACCGCTAGAAAGTTTCAGTTAAAATTAACTATCGAGTTTATTATATTTATTATATTTATTAATACTGAGATATATATATATTTAAAAACACAGCTGCTTTATTTTGCCTTTTTTTATCTCACACGATCAATTTAGCTGTTTTAATTATACCCCCCGGCGTGGCGCATTATACAATCCCGCCCCCGTCACGCACATTCGGGTATTTTTGTTTATCTAAGGACCGCAATATAACTTCTTCCCGCGAAATGGTCACGCTAATTACTGGATAATGCGCAACGTGTATTGTGTTCGAGTACAACAATGGATTCGTTCGAGCTAACCATAACGATGTCGAGCCATTTGCAGCGCTGGCCATTAGAGCCAATCAGAGAGCACCGCGTTGCGTAATCCCGTCGAATACGATATATGCGTCCTCCGACTGGCATGATCCGATCCAACCCTCTACTGGTTACACGTCCCATATTACCGTCCCGTCGATTGCCCTCTCGTCCCTCCTCGAGCCACGCGAATGCATCCGATCGCATCACACCGGCAGCCGCTCTGTCCATCCGTGCGGATTGCTGACCGCCTCCCGATTACGAGAATCGTATTAATCACTGCCGCCGAAACGTATCGACCTATATTAATCGCGATGGCAGCGGTGGCGAAATACAATTTCTTTGCGTCTAAAAAAAATGTCACTTTCTTGCAGTACGCTATTTATCGTATCGAAATTTCACAACGCTGCATCCGTCTAATGAATAATAATAAGTCATCGGTATTGAACTGGAGTGGAAGAATCTTCTATGTGGAATAAATAATGTCATAATCATAGCCATCTATCTTGTGTAATATTATTCAATTAACTGAACCGCGTAATAGGGTGACAAAGAAGGAAGAGCGGATAATCGATTACGTCGAACCCACATGATCAGACGGCGAAGACTATAATCCGCCGCTTATATTCTTCGATAATCACGAGAAGTCCCTTCGGTCTCTATTAGAATCGCGATAACAAATTTTATTTCGGTATCATACACCGCGGGACGCTGTAACATCTCCGTTACCGTAGTCGTTTCGCATTTAGGATTTGGTGCCAGGCGATACGTTCTCGTTTAACAGGGCGATGCTAGCCCGTAATCCCACTGAGCTTTTTGTATATAATCGACGCCCGCGGAGACGAGAGCGGTGGAGAGGACAGCGAGAGGATGAACGATCGTAACAGTCCGGTTGGCGGTCGAATCGAATCGTGAATCGCCGCGAAACGGCAGTCACATTGTAATCGGGTATAACGCCGGTTTTTCTATGCAGCCGGTAATCGCTTTAACCGGCGCTTGCCGCTTATAATGCGATCGTATCGCGATATACAGTCCGGCGGCTGCATTTTCCGTCGATGCCAGCGCGAGGGTGCAGAATTGGCCAGGGGGAGGGGGGGGGGAAGCCGGGCGAGGAAGCGGTGGCGTGGGGCGGGCGTGAGAGAGAGAGAGAGAGAGAGAGAGAGAGAGAGAGAGAGAGAGAGAGAGAGA